CTCAGAGGCAGTGATCGCCGGAGTGCTGACCCTGGGTCCTGCATCTGATCCATCCATCCCGCAATCCTCAGCATACCTCTCTCCCACCACAGGCTCTCTGCAGGTGCCATTCTGCTCCTAGGATTTCCTCAGACACCTGCCGGCCTCATTCCCTCACTTCCTGAAGTCTGGTCAAAATGTCACTTCACAGCAAAGCCTTCCGTGCACAAATTGCAGAACCAAGTCACCGTCCTGTCATGCCCCGGACCACCCCACTAGCCTCGGCCCTGCTTTCTCTCTTCCTTGTCACGGACACTCACTGCCTGCATTGTGGGCATTCTCTTGCTCACAGCCATGTCCAGCTCTGTGTGCAACGACCAAACATGTTTAAGCATCAAGGAAGGATACTTGGGCATTTTCTTCATCTTACACATCAGAACCCCAAAGTTCTGAGAAGCTGAGAAACTCTCCAGAGATACTCAGCAGGGTCTGAGGAGTACATGACAGCTTGCAGCAGGGGGTATAAGGGATGGTCTCGTGATAAGCAGAGCAGGGCAGCCACTGAAGGGTTTTCCAGAACCCTCTCCTGTCGTTTCTCATCACCCAGCCCAGCCTTCGCTCAGGAGGCTGGATTTTGCCCTCCCACACAAACAGTGTCCACAGACCTTGATTCCATCACTGAGAGACAATTAAGGTCAGCACTTTCCTTGGAGCTGGGACAAACACGCACAGGCTGAAGACCCAAGAGGCAGTTGGGGGGTGGGGCAGGGGGAGTTCATCTGCTCTGAAATGCTCAGAATTCCCCCCAAGCCCTGCTTTTATGAAGTTCTTATAAAACTTCATGATCCTGAGATTGAAGGAGACAATCCATTTTCATATATTATTTTTACAGCTTGCAGTTTTTCAGGGGCACACCCTGAAGAGTCAAGGACTCGGGGAACCTTAGGGGCGAGGTGTGCATGTGTTGAAACCAGGTGCAAGGCCTCTCTCTGACCCTGAAAACAAACTTTTTTTTAACGCAAGTCTGACCTGTAAAGGGCACACCCCTCCCGCAGCTCTGCTGTGTATACTGAACCCTGCCTCCCATCCCCACCCTTGCAAGTGCCAACACAGCTCAGGACCTGCCAGTCTCTGCCCACCTGGTGGCAGAGGGTAGGAGAGTCAGCTGGGTCTTGGGGGAGCAGGGAACCCCACCCTCGCCTCATCAACGCCCCCATGACCCCTTCCTGTAGGCACCTAACCTCTGCCTTCACCTGCTCCTTCCCCATTTCTGCTGTTTCTCTCTCCCAGGCTGCTTTGGGGAGTGTGGACTTTGTTTGCACAGCTCTGGGTCCCGGAGGGCTGCCTCTGGCTCCCTGAGGATTTGTAGGGCGTGGGCTGCAATCCAGAGGCGGCTGGGCAGGGGAGTGCTTAAGGAAGGGGCAGTGGGTCCTCAGAGGAGAGAGCAAGGACCTGGCGGCACTCTCCTCTTCTCCCCTCTCTCCATCCCTCCACGTCCCGCGGCCACTCACCCTCAATTCCCCACGGGCTTCAGCAAGAGAAAATAAAACAACAGCGCCCGGCGCCCCTCCCGGCACCATCAAGTCAGAGCTCCCACCTTCACACCCGCCCTGTGCTACTTACCTTCCGAGCAGCCAGACCAGCTGGGCTTACTGCGGGGACGGTCCAGTTTCAACGGTGGCGTCTCGGCATCTCTGCGGAAGCCACAGCAACGCCTCGCTCCTCCCCTGCTCAACACACTCGCTCCCCCGCCCCTGCAGAGCAAATCATCTGCCTTCCCCTGCACCAAACCCACCTAGAAACAGACTCTCCGGGGGAGTCTGTAAGAACCCGGCGCCAGCGGCCCCGCGGAGGGCGCCCTACCCGCTCCTCCGGGATGCGCGCCGGAATGCACGCAGAGATGCACGCAGAAATGCACGCACGGGATACACGCCCCGGGATGCACGCAGAGATGCACGCTCCTGGGTGCACGGGGCGGGAGGGAGGCACGCTCCTGGATGCACGTACCAGCATTCACGCACTGGGAAGCGTGCGGCTGGATGCGCGCTCCTGGGTGCACGCCGGGGGATGCACGCACACCTGGTTCCAATGTCCGTTAAAAAAACAACCCACAGCAAGAATCTCCCTCCCGGGAATAGCGTTAAAGCAAAAGGCAGAGGCTCTAGGAAGCTGGAAAGTCTGTAAATTCCAAAACTCCGCGCAGCACCAGCAGCAACGGGATTAACAAATAGGAATCAGACCAGGTCCACGGGCAGCCTTCGGAAACGCTAGCTTTGCGCTCCGCTTTCCCCGGACTGCCCCCTACCTGCCCGGCCCTTCCCTGGACAAAGGGACACCTGCGGTCTGTTGCCCTGGACTCGGGCCAGTCTGCACTCGCCCACCTGGCCGGGAGGTTCCAGGTGACCCGGGGGAGGGGGGAGGGGGGGAAGGGGAGTTCGAGCACCAGGGTGCAGTTCTGGGTGGCTCCCGGGTGCACCCTGCAGAGAGGCTGGGCTCGTTGGTGCCTAGTCCGGATGGTGCCCGGGAGGCCAAACCCTCCGCGGGAGCCCTGGGTGAGACACACGAGGGCTCCACCTCCAAGCACACACTAGTCCCTGCTGCTTTCATTTCGCGCTGGGGGGCCGGGGTGAGGGGGTTTGCTGTAGGCCCCCTTTTCTCTCCTTGTAAATTATGATGTTTTAAACTCTATTTTTTATTTCTTTATTTTTATTTAATTACCATGAGATACACAGTTACAAATTGTTGTTCATGATTGGGTTTTGGTCACACAATATTCCAATACCCGTCCCTTCACCAGTGCACATTTCCCACCACCAATGCCCCCAGTTTCCCTCCAGCCCACCCAGTTTCTGTCTCTCTCTCTTTCTTTCTCTCTGTCATGATGGTTTGCAATACAGGTACGGAGAGGTTATCCTGCATGTCCCTTTACCTCCTTTCAGTACTCAGTTCTTGTCTAGAACCATCAGTTCCAAACATCACTGTCCAGGTGCACTCCCCCCTCCCACTAAGAGGAAGGAGAGGAGAGGAGAGAGGAGGAGAGGGCAGCGGAGAGGAGAAAGGAAAGAGGAAATATTGAAATACTACTCAGTCACAAGAAAAATACAAAATCATTGCAGTTTGCTACCGCATGGACGGATCTGGAGAGTATCGTGCTGGGCGAAGTCAGGCAGGAGAGAGACAGACAGGATCTCCCTCAGGTGTGGGATCTAAAGAGACACAGGAGGGGAATAGCAGATGCCCAAGGGCAACAGGAACTGATGCCAGGTCTGCAGTAGGAAGCTGACCACGAGGGGCAGAAGACGGGGTGACTCTAGGGGAGGGTGCTGGGCTACCAGAAGCCCTGCCATGAACAACTGTAAACCACAGTGCCGGAAATAAAAGCAAAGCATTTTAAAGAAAATGAAAATAGTGTCTGTAACTTTAGTGCGTCTCTGAAGGTCAGCAGACATGAACTGACATCTGGAGGGTGAGGATGTACCCGGAGTTGCTAAACTGACTCGCTGGGAGGGTGCGTTGATGGTTTGTGTTTTTCCCTCCAGGCAGAGTGGCATCTTAGCATCATTTAATGGTAGCATAATTGAACCATCAAACTTCGTGGAGTATTAAAGTCCAGGAATTAAACCAGCTAACCTGCCAGGCGGGCTCTGCGGACGCCCTCCACCCCCACCCCACTTCTTTGGTTGAGTGGGAGGGAGCAAAAAGGAAGGGGAGTAATGCAGACCCTAGCATGGAATTGCGGGGGGTGGGGGGAGGAGCTTTCCGCTATCCTTTTCCCTTTTTCGGGTGTGATTATTTTATTCCTGCATTCGAGCAGATCATAGCTTGCCTTATAAAACTGTTTATCTTGGGACCGGAGTGATAATACTGTGATTAGAACACTTGCCTTACACACAGCTGACCCGGAGTCATCCCCAGCATGCCATATGGTCCCCTGAGCACCACCAGATGTGGTTCAAAAACTTGTTTATCTGCAGTATCAGGTGGCACTTTCCATCCTGAGCACCCAACAGAAACCCACCTTAGTAAGTTAAAAAAGTGAATATAATTATTTTGCATATTTTTTTATTTGTTAAGTTTTGGTTTGGAGGCCACACCCAGCATGCTCAGGGCTGACTCCTGGCTCTGTGCTCAGGGATCACTCCTGGCAAGGCTCAGGGGACCATCTGTGAGTGCCGGGGGGTGGAACCCGGGTCAGCTGGCTTAGGCAAGTTCCAAACAGGCCAGACATTGCATCATCCCAGCTTGGAACAGCCGTGAAGTGCTCCAGGGTGTGTCGGTTCCACCGAAAACTATAGCAGGGCCTTGCCCTGTGGCCTCACCACTGCCCCTTCAGGCGCACAGCACTGGGGGCTCATGGTGGCTGCAGATAAGGCCTGCAGCACACAGGTGGCCAGCAGCCCACAGCTCCCCATGGCTATTCCCAGCTTCAAGGCTGCAGAGAGCACCCACTCAATTCCTTGGCATCAATGACGCACAGGCTCACTCGCATGGACGCCACAGTCTGAGGGCCTGAGAAAGAGGCCCCATCAAACACGTTTCTTCTTGTTTGCTTCCTGCTTTGAGGCCACACCTGGCAATCCTGGAACTGAATCCAGGCTCTACACTCAGGAACCACTCCCAGTGGCCTGGGGGACCCACGGGGTGCCGGGGATCCAACCTGGATCGGCCACGTGCCAGGCAAGTGCCCTCCCCGCTGTGTTGTCTCTCCAGCCCTCAAACACGTTTCTTAGGGTGAAATGAGTTTAGAAAATGTCTCACGGCATCCGCAGCAAGCTCTGGCAAGAACGAACTTCAAAACAACAACAGAACAAAAGCACCTGCCTAACTTTATTGGGCCTGGGGCTCCCTAAACCTAGCACATTGTGTAAGCCCCTAAAGTCACCGGTGGGGATGGTTAGGGGGAGGTGTCCAGTGTCAAGGGGGCTCTCCAGGAATAACTGTCCAGAAGAATGAAAGTCACAGCAAACCCAGGGCCCCAGAAATGGGTGAGCCTGCGCTAAGTAGAAGGGGGCGGATGGGGTAAGGGTCCTGGGGCCACCAGGTATGAGGGGAAAGAGGAGGTTAGGGGACCTGGAGATTCCCCACTGGGAGAGCTGAACTGGGGGGGCTCATGAGGCATCCTCACCCCCTGCTGCTCATCCAGCACCCCCTCAGGACCTGTGACAGACGGTCCTGTACAGGAGGCCGTTACCCGCACAGCGTGTGGTTGTAGAAGTTACAGCAGCTGGACAGGGCGGCGGGGCCCAGGGCCGGGCCGGTGCTGCAAAGAAATGAGGCTGTGATGTACACACCAGGCCCAGCGCCAGGGACATGGGGACGCTGCTGCCACCCCCTGCACCCCCTTCCCACCCCCTGCTCACCCCTGGAACTGCTCCTGGCAGCACAGGTAGAGCTCGTAGCTGGCACTGCTCACGGTGCTGTTCAACAGGGTCGCACAGTCCACCACAGGGCCCCTGGGCACGTAGAGGATGCCTGGACAGGGACACAGCCGGGCCTCAGGTGGGGCCTGTGCTCACAGACCGCCCCCCCATCCCCGCCCCACCTGCACTCACCTGCCACACAAGCATTAACCAGGGACACGCAGGCCCCTGTGAGGAGCGCCCGCAACACGATCCCGGAGAAGTCGCTCTTCCGGTGGGGCGCCATGGATGCTGCAGGGGACACACGGGCTCAGGCCAGATCCCTGCCTGCCTCTGGGCAACCCGACGCCCCAGGCAGGGGTGGTGTTTAGAGCCCTGCTAACAGGCCCCCCGGGTGAGCCCCCCACCCCCAGGTCTCCACAGGGGAAATGTGTGCAGGTCTGGGATTGGACCATCCCAGTGACCTCAGCCATCAGCTGCTTGGGTGACCAGAGCCCCAGTTCTGGGAGAGTATGAGGAGGAGCTGAGAGCTTGGGGGTACGTCCTCCGGAGGCCCCCCAGGCCTGCCTGACCCCATGTGGGAACGGCAGGCCAGAGTGTCAGGACAGGCCAACAGTGGCCAGCAGTGGCCCCACACCCACGCCCCAAGCAGGCCAAGGTGCACACACGGGGAACACCCAGGCATGGCCAGGCACCCAGGAGACTATTGGCTGGGGGAATGTCTCAACCCTCTGCTTAGCGCTGGCCTGGGACAAGTTGGCCAACTGAGACATGTTGAAATTTGGGCCCCAGAAAGTGGCTTCAGGGCTCAGTCTGGCAACTCGGACCCCCAAGGTACCAGGAAGCGCCCCGGGACTCACTCAGGCCTCCCAGCATGATCCCAATGGAGCTGAAGTTGGCGAATCCACAGAGTGCAAAGGTGGTGAGTATCTCCGCTCTCACCTAGGAGGTGACACCGAGTCAGGAGGACTCTGCCCCCACCATAGCCACACGTGCCAGCATTGCCAAGAGAGGAAATTTGTGATCAGAGATCATCAGGGAAGCCACACAAAGGAAAAGGTGGGTGTGGACCCATTGTGTGAAAACACATGTAAAGTGATGGGGGGGCGGGGCGAAGAACAGGGCCAAGTGTGCATAGGGAAACGGGAAGTGGAAACAGGTGGACCGAGATTTTCGGAACTGTGTCCTGCCAGCTTCTAGAACATCACAGTGACGCAGCTGCAAAGACTCACTTCACCTCAACCCAGTTCCAATCAGGTGATTCCAAACCTACCAGGTGCTTCTCAACCCCAGGCCCTTTGCACATGCTGATTCCTCGACCCAAAGGTCTGCCCACCCCTAACTTGTCTTCTCTCGTGGCTTCCAAATGCTAATGTTCTGAGCCCATCTCTGACCATGAGCTGGGACTACCCCAGTTTTGTTTTTTTAACAGAGTGTATTCCTTGACCATTGAAAATCTAAATTGTATGGACTGGAAAGTTAATACAGCAGGTAGGGTGTTGGCCTTGCACACCGCCAGCTTTAATACGAAGTCCCCTGAGACCAACCAGGACTAATTCCTGAATGCAGAGTCAGGAGTCAGCCCTGAACATCACCGGGTGCAGCCAAAAATACAAGACAAAGAAAGCATTAGAGAAGGCCCAGACAAGAACTCAGCCACCGGGTGCCCACTGTGATTGCGGGAGGCCTGGGATCTACCCAGCTCCCCTGGCACCCCCAGGGGAACCCCCATCCCCCACACACACGGAGCTGAGAGCAGTCCCCTGAGCACCACCCCTGTTGCCCCCAAAGTTAAAAAATAAAATAAATTAAAAGATAACAACTGCAGTCGGCTGTGCCCAGGCTCCAGGGCTGCCCCACGTGTGGGAGGGGCCCAGGGAACAGCCGGGAGGAGGGATCAGTCTGAGTTCAGAGAACAGCCCAGCATCGGGGGTCGTACGAAGAGCACGGGGGCAAGTCATAACCCCCCGGGTGGGAGCATGTGCCACCACAGTCGGGATGGACCGTGAGGGACACACACTGCCCTGTGCCCGGTCCAGGAGCCGCCTCCCCGGCCCGGCCTTCCTGAGACGAGAGCGGGGGTGCATTTCCCTTGCAGGCATCCGACCCAGGTTGGGTCCCCGGTGTCCCACAGGGCACCCTGAGCCCATCCAGGAGTGATCCCTGAGCACAGAGTTAGGAGTCAGCCCCAAGCACCACCTGTGGCCCCAGAATAAAAACCAACAAAGAACTTTGACAGAGCAGCACCCCCAAAGATAAGATCAGGCAGCCCAGCTGTGAACAAACCCTCCCTGCTCCCTCCAGTCCTGGCTCCTGGGCTGTCCCAGGGATCCTTGGGAATCGTGGCAGGTATCACCCAGGCCGAAGGCTCTTGCCCAGCACGGGGGAGAGCCGACACTGGCAGGAGGACGCCCGGCTGGGTTCCCCTGGGGGCAGGCGGGCACTCACCGAGATCCACTGCTTCTTGCCGTCGATCCACTCCTCCATCCCCGCCAGGCGGCGATCCTTGTACTCAGAGAGTGTCTGATAGGCCACAAACTCGTTCAGAAACAGCTTCATGCCCAGGAGCTCGGCCACCACCGGGCAGTCCTCCCAGGCCACGCCCAGCAGGAAGGCCACAGGCCGCAGGATGTAAGAGCAGAGGAGCTGAGGGGTAAGTGAGGACGCTGCTGCCACCAGGTCCTATGGGGTCTCCCTGACCTCCCTGGGCTGTGTCCCCCCTCAACAGGCCAGACCTGGAAACTGAGGCCCTCCACATCCACCATGCCTCCCAGCCAGGCCAGGGCGGCGTTGATGAAGGCCAGCACGGCCAGGAAGGCAATCAGATTGGCTGCAATGTTAGCCACCACCTTCACGGAGATGGCGGCCCCACTGCTGGCAGCTTCCAGAAGGTTCTGAGCATCCCTGTGGGTGAGACGGGCAACTCCTGTCGTGGGTCTATCCGAGCCACGGCACCTACAGGCTGGACAGTGTCCTGGTTCTCCCTCTGAGCTCGGAGACGGGAGAGCTGGCCCGAGCACCAGGGACCCCAATTTCTAGCAAAGATGCAAGCCAGTTGCCACAGAGGCTCTGGGTTTAGACAGGATGAGCACAGGGGGAGCTGACACTGGCAGGAGCCGACACTGAACCAGTCCCGATTCAGATGCTGCAAATACGGAATATACTCCAGACATCGGACGTCTAGTGCTAAAAGAAAATGCCACACCAACAGTGCTCAGGGGCTGCTCGTGGCACTGTGCTCAGGGAACCATCTATGGTACTTTGCCCTGGGGTAGGGATTTGAACCAGGGCTGTCAGGCGCTCCAGCCCAGACAGGCAGGTTTCTTATGAATAATTGTTTGTGTTGAGGCCAGAGCAATAGTACAGTGATGAGAGCATTTGTCTTGCTTGCAAGCAGAACCAGGTTTGATCCTGGCATCCCCTGAGCACCGCCAGGAATAGTTCCTGAGTGCAGAGCCAGGAGTAACCCCTGAGCATCGCCAGGTGTGGTTCCCAAACAACTAATAATAATAATAATAATAATAATAAAAACTGTTGGTGTTGCCCAGTGATTGAACCAGCCATACGGTGCTGCTAGCGGGTGGCTGACTCCAATTCTCCTTTTAGACTGGCTGGTCTGACGTGGATAAGCAGGGCAGACATGCCCAGGAAGTGGTGAGGTTAGGGTTTCACACTGCACCCCTAAGCACAGCTGTGAAGGAAGGTGTGAAGAAAGGTCACAGGGCTGCCGGGACGCAGTGAGGTAGTGTCAGGAGAGGGTGCCATGCGGTAAGCCACGGCCAGTGGCACCCCAGCCCATCCCCTGACCCTGCCCTGGTCAGCTTCTGCACTAGACTGCGGGTAAGAGAACTGGCACATCAGCTCCTGGTGGCCAGGGCAGGGCCATGACAGCAGGACCAGGGCCCCCCAGCGGCACTCGCTCACCCGTAGCTCAGCTTCACGCCCTCCTGGCTTCTGAACTTGGATTCCTCTACCTCGGGGTAGACCAGCTTGGACAGGGCCAGGGCACAGGGCGCCGCCATGACAGAGGCCGCGATCAAAGATGTGGAATCGATCTGCAGGTCAACAAGGACAGGCTAGGGGACCAGCCGCCCTGGAGGACTGGCAATGGGGAGATCAGACCTCCCGCACCCCTTTTTACAGCCGAGGAAACAGAACCCCCAACACAGCAGGTCCGAGTCATCGTGTTTATGGGGGCTGGTTTGAGGGTTCCAGGCTGACTGCAGCTGGGGTGGGGGTAGTGACAGTGTCCATTCCACTCCCCCCGCCCCCATACAAGGCAGTTGGACCTGCGAGGGGCTGGGCAGCAGAGGGTTAGGGGACCCTGTGGGCATGTCGCCCTCTAGAGGACGCCTGAGTTACTATGGGGCACAAGGGTGCTCACCCCCTCCTGCCCCTGGCTGAGTGAGCTCCCCCCTCAGCACCCCGTCCTCTGGCCGGGTCGATCCCCTGAAGGGCTCCCAGGAAGAAGCAGGGGACCACTTGCACCCCGGGACCCTCCCTTGAAGAACAGCACCTCATGGGAGCCAACCCCCGCCCCATTTCCCACTCTGCTGCTTTCCTGGCAGGTAAGTACCCAAAGGGCACAGCAGAAGCCTCACTCTGTGCCATGTGGATGGCTGTGAACAAAGACAGGACAGTCAGTGTTCAGCAAGGCCTCTGAAGCAGTCAGGGGAAGGAGCAGAAGTCAACGACAATGAGGAAAACCAGGCAGAAGTCACACCAAGGGTTCAAAGGTGCCAAGAGTCTATCCTGGCTTGCAGGACCTAGGCTAGGTCCTTTAACTTATGCCCCTTTTGGTGTTTCTCTCAATGCCTAGAGTGGGTGATTCTGTCCTCCTAAACACTATTGGGTACCTGAGTATCAATAGGCATGGCCCTCCGAAGAACAAAAGATCAAGTTAATGACATTAGCCAAGCCCGATACATCCAAAATACACACTTCTCCACCCATTGATATAAAACTTAATATTCCTTTTTTTTTTTGTTTGGTTTGGGGTTTTGGGCCACACCTGGCAATGCTCAGGGGTAACCCCTGGCTCTGCACTCAGGAATCACTCCTGGCTGTACTTTTGGGATGCCAGGGATTGAATCTGGGTCAGCCATGTGCAAGGTAAGTCTCACCTGTTATGCTGTCTCTCTGGTGCAATGACTTCATTCCCCTCCCCACCCCCACCACCCGCCATACTAAGCAAGTCACCATACTTCAAGGGCTCAGTGTGGGCGGGGGAGAAAAGCCCAGATTTTATAAATAAAGGGGGTGCGGAGTAAACAGGGGAGGAAATTGAGCAACAGAGAGGACCAGGACCGAGGAGAAAGTGCAAGGAACCTTTCTGGAATTACACCAAGAGTGGCTGCCTAGAGGAGGCTCTAAGGAGCCGAGAGGTAGGACTTGCAGTGGCAGTCAGAAGGCAGCAGGGGGCAAGCGAGAGCTTCCCTGGATTCCAATGAGGGTTGACTGAGGTTGGAGGGAGGGAGGGACCCCAAAGTGTGGGCTTCGGGGTGTCCACCAGCGAAGGGGAACGCCCTTACCCCAAAGGAGATGTAGGCGCCCAGCAGGCTGCCCGCGATGGTGGAGTAGCCGCCGGTCATGACCACGTGCAGCTCAGAGAGAGTCATGTCCGCCAAGTAAGGCCGGATCAGCAGGGGCGCCTCCGTCTGCAGAGAGGACAGGGATCGAGCTGACTGGCCCTCCCCATCATCCAGCGGAGCCAAGAGAGAGTCCAGGCACGTCGGAGAGGAGCTCAAACAGAGGCACTGGCCACACCATGTCATGTCCAGGACAGGCTGGGGACCCTGGGTGGCTCCTTCAGGAATCTCTGGGGGAGTGTCCTTGGGGGTCTTTATAAGCGAGTGATCAGGAATGGCCATTGGAAGTGTCTGTTCCTGCCAAGTGACCAGTGGAGGCCCTGGGATCCACAGCTGGCTGGGGGTCCTGAGGGTGGAGCCCGGCGGGAAATAGGGAGAACCAGCAGGAGGGTAGGTGGGGCCCAGGTTCCAGGCACTGGAATTTCTCATTTCTGGGCATTTGATCGCCTCCAGCCTGAACTCCATCTCCCTGGTGGCCTCACTCACTAAGTCTCTAAGCTGGAGTTTCCCCAGATTGGGGAGGCCCCCAAGAGGGTACAGGGATGATCGAGAGGTCGGGGGGTCCCCTTGGGTACAATTGGAGCTGCTTTCTGCTGCTGGCTTAAAGAAGGTAGACCTCCCTCCCCAGATCTGCGAGCGACTTTTCTTTCTAAGTCAAGGACTGTCACCAAATGGCTCCGGACTCTGCTCCAAGCTGGCGGGGAGGCCTCAGGATGGAGCCACCCAGCAGAGCCACATAGCAGGCATCTTCCCCGGGCAGCAGCCTTGGTGACTCCCCCAGATGACTCCGGACACAGCACCCACCTGGCTCACAAAGATGTTCCCGGCCACGCTCAGGGTCTCCGTGGCCGTGGTGCCCATGGTCACCTGCATCACCCAGGCGATCTGCAGGGAAGCAGTGAAAGCGACCCCCGAGCCAGGAGTGGGGCATGAGTCCCCCCAATCTCCCAGACCCTCCCCAGAAACGTCTCCTCGGGCCCCACCACAGGAGTCGGGAGGTCTCCATCATTCCCAACCCTCTGGGAGCGTGTCCACACCTGGACAGGCCTGGGCAGGCTCCAAGACGTGCCCCCACCCCTTTTGACTCTGTCTCACCCAACAGCCAGCCCAGACACCCCAGATTCTTCCACCACCCAGGGGTCCTCTGCCCATCGATGCACATCAAGAATGGGAGTTTTGCAGGGAGAGCTTGGGGGAGGGGATTCTGGGGTGTCATGGGGCCCATGAGGAAGAAATTGGGAGGGGGGCTGCAGGGGAGAAGCGGTGGAGCCCGGAACGGGGCAGCCCAAATGCCCGGGTGGCTCTGGGGTGCAGGCAGCCGTGAAGACTCACCTTCAGGATGACCCACTGCATGAGGCCCACGTAGTAAAGCATCGACATGACGCAGCTGAAGAAGACTATGATGGGCAGCACCTGGGGGTGGGGGGCACAGGAGGCACTGAGGGGCCCTGCAGGCCAGCAGCCAAAACCCACAGGCTCCGGCAGGCCCCTGGGTTTGTTCCCTCCAAAGTCTGACATCCACACAGAACCCCTTGTTATGGCCGCCTCTACCCTGAAGGGGGCCCGGGAACCGTGCTGAGTCCACCCCTCCCTGAGCTCCATCCCAGACCCTGGCCTCGCTGCTGTGTGTGGCTGAAGCCGGACTCCCCTGTTTGCTGGGTTCTGCCCCCACCCCTCGTCACTCTCCCTCCCAGTCCCCCACAGCCAGCCTGTCTGCTCTCAGGGCGGGCTGCCCCCCGCCTCTGGTTTGAGGGAGTGGCCCCTACATGTGTGCCTGAGGGTCCAGCTCATCCTCTCCAATGTGACAAACAGACTAAGGCAGAACAAGGATGGCCACTGAGGAACAAATGGTTGGGATAGGGGGACCAGTCTCAGAGTTTGGCCCCGCACTGGGGTGGCACTGTGTATAGTCTCTGCCGTGGCCAGGCAATGTCCCAGGACAGCACTGGCCCTAGGCAGGAACTGGCCGCGGGGTCAGTGGGGAGGAAGGCTCACTGCTGGAATATTCTAGTTCCTGTTGTGTGGTGGCAGGGATCTGGCTGTGAGGTGTGCAGAGCCGGCCACAGCAGGGCCATCCTGATGCCCAGACGCAGTGGGGGAGCCAGGACAGTCCAGGGCAGTAGGAAAACGGGGCTTCCTGGCCACGGTCACAGGCGAGGCCCCAGAGCCCGGGGCTTCTCGGCCCTTCTCCACAGCCCTCGCTGTGGGCAGCTCCTCCGGGGGTCCCTGCTCAGCCAGAGCTCCAGACGGCAGGGGCCAGGGCAAGGGTCCCATCTGCGACTCAGGGGGGCCAGCAATGGCCATGAGACAACATAAGAGGAGTGGACAGAGGGGTGAGGGGACAACCCCTGGGAGCAGCACAGGGCACTGGAGTGCAGGGGGGGCCCTGGCACCTCCTAGCCAGTGGGCCCTACTGGAGGGCCCCCCCAAAAAAACCCCAGGGAAGGGGCCTCAGAGCACAGAGGGGCCCAGTGCTGTCACTCCCATTCCTGGCCCTGCAGACAGCTACGGCTTTGTCCAGACACTAGAGCCCCAGACATCCTGTGATCCCGCCTGGGGGACTGTCCACACACACTCAGGGCTTCACCAGGGAGGACCTCGCCTGGGTCCTGTGGGGACCGTCCTGGGAAGAAGGTGACTGGGAAAGGGGAGAGGTAGCCCGGCTGTGTGAGGGACAGTCCCGCCCTGGTCCCTACGGTCCCGAGTGTAGGCACCAGGGGTGAGGGAATTGGAGATCCCAACGCCATGGGGGTGGGAGACCACCTTCCTGGCCAGGGTCCTGGTGGGTGACCTTTGCCCCTTAACTTAGGAGAGAAGCTTCTAGCCCTAAACTCCAAGATTCGTCCAGTGGGTAGAAAAGCGCCTTTGGAGCCCTCTGCAGGACCAGGACCTCAGACGTGGTCAGTGGGGGGGCGGGGGCTAAGAAAGTGGCCTTTGAGAGCCAGAGGCCCAGCCTGAGACGCACTCTCTCCTCCCCCAACTCCAGCACACACGGAGGGCCACAGGCTTCCTCCCGAGCACTATCCCAGAGTCCTCAGCTCAGCCCCTGGTCAGCAGGCAGACAGACTCCCTAGGGCGGACCCCCACAGTGCCCCTGCCTTCTCCAGAGAACTTAGGAGAAGCAGTAAGCAGACCCCTGGCCCCCACGCAGAAGGACGTCATCCTGTCAGAGTCCCCTGGGAGGCCGTGTCCAGCCCATTGCTCCACACTCCCCTTTGCCACCCCCATGACCCTCACTGAGCTCCAGCCTAGCAGACAAGTCCCTGTAGCCCCCCATAGCCAGTGCCTACCCGCCCTTCCGTTTGGGATTTTGTAAAATTTGGTCCTGCTGGTCTCTGGGGGCCTGCGACTCTCTTGAGGGGGTGTGGGGAGCTGCAACCCCTTTGCTGGCTGCCCTGAGGTCTCCCCAGAAGCCCTGGGCCCAGTTCAGGCAGGATTAGAGACCGTTCCAGAGGCAGGAGGGCCAGGGAAGGACAAGTGTGACAGCCTGACCCAGGAGGGATGCACAACTGCCGAAAGCCAACTGGGTAGGAAGTTTCTAGAACAGAGATGGTGCCAAGGTGCAGTGACTCATCAGGATGAGGTTCTGGGAGGTGGAGGCCATGTCAGCTGAGCTGTCTTGGAGGCCAGGGTTTGAGGCCAGGGTTTGGGGGGCGGGGGCGGAGGGAGCCTGGGGCAGAGCTTAGACCCCAGGAGTGAGGATTGATCACCAGGGGGCAGCTGGACTCCAGAAGGGCTGAGAGAGGCCCAAAGGCCTGGGACTGATCTCATGGGAGTTGTGGCAAGAATGCAAAGGAAGTTCTGGAAGATTCTAGCTCTGCACCCAAACCCAGCCCACCTTGGTCACCAGCACACGTTTGTGTGTGGAGGGAGGGGCATTTCATGTGCACTGTGTACATTCGTGTACGTGTGCTCAAGTGTGTACATGTATGTGTCCTCGAGTGTGTGTGTTCACGTGTGTGTGCTCATGTGTGTATACTCGTGTGTGCGTGCGTATGTGTGTGCTTGTGTGTGTGCTCATGTGTGTATATTTGTGTGTGTGCTCGTGTGTGTACTCATGGGTGTATATTTGTGTGTGTACTTGTGTGTATATTTGTATGTGTACTTGTGTATGTGTGCTTGTGCGTGCTCATGTGTGCATTTGTGAGTGTGCCTTTGTGTATGTGCGTGCATTTATGTGCATGTTGCATGAGACACAGCAGGTATAGCAGGATGCAGGCAGTGATCTGTGATTCTGCAAGGGGCTCTGGGGCCTGACAGCACCAGTCTGATGGCATCAGTCTGAGCCTTCTCCCGTCAGACCTGTTGCTAAGCGGTCCTGGTGTACCCAGGAAGGACAAGGCCCCCTGGGGCCAGGAAGCGGGGACACGCGGAGGTCCCATCACAAGCCCCAACTCCTGCTCGCCCTGTTCTCTGGACAGCAACACCCTGCTGCAGCCCGATGCCCACATGGCATGCCGGTGCCCAGGCCTGTGACGGGAGACAGGAAGGGGCTCACCTGAAAGGCAAAGACGTTCTTGACCAGAGCTTCCCCGAACACGAAGCTGGAGCCCGCCTCGGTGTAGCTCAGGAAAACCTACCGGAGACAAGTGTGCCGGCCCTCCAGGCTGAGGCTGAGCTGTGGGCCAGCCCCCAGCCCCTCTCTGGGGCCCCACCCAGTGGCTCCTCCTCCGGGGGCCTGGGCCCACCTGGATCTGGTCACCCAGCCACCGGAAGGCGACAAATCCTGGTTCTGTTCTGATGACAAAAAGCCCAAGTGCGAACTGCAGGCCAAGGCCCCAGAACAGGGCCCGCCAGGACACCTGCCAAAGAAAGCACTGTCACCCTGCATCTGGGGCTGTCCAGGGTGGGGGCGGGGGCTGCCCAGGGTCCCCCCAGCATGGCCGCCACAGGCTGGACTCAGCTAGGCCCTGGGTTGCTCCTCCAGGGTCATAAAAGGCTACGCTGGTACAGGCTGTATTGGGAGTGTCCTGGTGGAAAGGTGCCAGCTAGGAGGTCCAGAGACTGGCCGCCTATGTGGCCTGGTCAGCTGTGTGTCCTGTAGCCATGTATCATGGGTCTGAGTGTCCTGCAATTCGAGGCCCAGGTGCCTTCCCCCTCCTGGTCCTCCCGCATGGGGACTCCCAGCAGCCCGGGTCTTGGGAGACGAAACCCCACTCACTGCCCGGTGCTGCTTGGAGCAGGCGAACAGGAAGCCCACGAAGGCGCAGAGCCCCCCGAAGGACACCAGCTGCTGGGGGCGCTGCGCGGTGTCCAGTGCCAGCCATAGGACCAGGCCCAGGAAAGCGGCAAGGGCCAGGATTCTGCGGGGGATGCAGGAGCCGTCCCCTCAGTACCTGCCCTCTCTGGACGCCAGGTTGCTCTGAGCAAACACAGGCGCCTGTGGAGGTCACGAGTGCATGTTTGGGGGCAGCACCTGGGTAGACGCTGCACAGGAAGGGAGGGAGAGCCCCAGCCACGGCCCTCCTCTCCGCCCACGCAGTGGCCCTGGGCCCGGCCAGCCCTGCACACGGCTGCAGAGTGGCCCCGTCGGGTCCGGGTGCAGGCTGTGGGCGGAGGTTCCCGCTCCCGCCCCACTTTGGAACGCACTAAGACGCCCCCCTGAAATTTGGGTCTGGATCTGCTGTCCAGAGACCCAGTGGGCCGCATGCAAATGCCACAGGGCTATGAGCCCCCGGAGGGAGAGTCTCCCGAGGCTGGTCAGTGCCCATGGCTCATGGGAGCTGGTGGGCAGCAGGGACCCTGGCCTCCCCCTTGGGAGGGTGGGCACTGCCGGGGAGATGAAATTGGGGCACCCTGGAACGGGTAGCTGCCACTGAGACAGCGGCTGACTCAGGACGGCCTGGGGGTCAGCCCAGGGTGGCCAGTACACACAGGGCGAACTCTGTGCTGGGCCTGACCCAGAGGCCCCCGGCCGGCCCCATCCTGAGGCCTGCGCTCACTCACCTCTTCAACCAGAGGGTCAGGCAGGGCTTTGCCAGGGGCTGCAGGAGCCTCTGCAGCTTTGGAGCCAGCAGCGGCTGGAGCAGGCTTTGGGCCAGGAAGAACAGGACCACACAGGTGAGGACGAAGAGCGCCAGGGCCCGCTGGAAATTCAGGAGGCAGGCGACCAGCAGAAAGCCCGCGAAGGCTGGATAAGCGGGGGCAGAGAGGGGTCAGCCCCAAGCAGGCAAGGGAACAAGGAGTGGGTCAGCCCTGAGCAGTCAAGGGGGTGAGGGGTGGGTCAGCCCTGAGCAGGACATGTGGGAAGGGGATCAGCCCTGGGGAGGTGGGAGACAGAGAGAGGGGTCAGCTCTGGGCGGTGAGGGGGGTGTCGTGAGAGGAGTCACTGCTGAGGAGCTGTGTCACCCGTGTGGTCATCGGGGCTCTCGGGGAAGCCCTGCTTCCTGGGGCCCTAACCTCCCTGCCCTGCACACCTGCCCATCGACTCTGCTGCCTCTCATGTGGCCCCGTGTAAGCGTGATCTTGACACATCCCTGTCTGAACCCTGCCCCGCAGCAGACCAGTCCCAGATAACCTGTAACCCCTACCCCCTCTTCTAGAACTTTACCCCGGGGCCCCTCTCCAGCCAGTCTATTGGCTTCCTGCCCACACCCTGAGCTTTCTTTCACCTTTGCTCCTGTCCTTCCTCCGCTTGGGGTCCCTTCCCTACTGACCTGCCCCTCCCTCTCATCGACACTCCCAATCGATGAGACCCAAATGCCACCTCCTTCTGGTCAACTTCCTTGATCACTCCCACCCTCCCTGGGGTTGCCAGCAGGCTGGCTGTACCGAGAGAGAAAGAGACATATTCCCCTTTCCCTCACCCACTGGAAAGAGTCTTGGGGACAAGATCTGGGGATTTGAGCTGGCCCTTGGCCCCCAGCGATGTTTTGCTGACGCTAAAAGGAGGGGTAGGGGAGTGGCACAGGGCCTGAGCTCACCAGTGCAGACCAGGCCCTTGCAGATCCATCTCCAGAGCTGCGCGTGCTCCCTGCAGAAGCGTCGGAGCCTCTGGGCTGGCTGCAGTCTCCTCCTGGGGACAGGTAGTTGACAGGGTCAGCCTGGCCCGAAGTTGCAGATCAGATGGGCACCCCCGGCCCAGCCGCCCTAAGCCTTCCCGCCCTGGGCATCAGCCCCAAGTCGGAGGGTCCAAGGGGACCAGCACAGGGCCAGATGTGAGGTGCAAGAGCCATCCCACTGCCCCTCACCTTCCACTGCAAGGTAAGCATCCCTCCTGTAGGCCCTAGACCTCCCATCGGCTGTCACCCCTGCACCCCACCTCCTAGCAGAACTTCAGCGGCCTGGGAAAGCTGAGTATCCTCAAATATGCCCCTGAGGTATAAAGTAGCTGAAGAGCGGGAGTCCCCGCAGCCCAGCCTGAGCAGCCAGGGTGCAAGTGGGGTCCCATGGTGGGGGGCGTAGAAACCTCTGGCCACTGGGTTCAATCCCCAGCATCCCACAGGGTGCCCCAAGCCCACCAAGAGTGACCTCTGAGCGCAGAACCAGGAGTAAGCTCTGAGCACCACCGGATATGGCCCAAAATCAAGAGGAAAAAAAGAAAGAAGAAAGAAGGAAAAGAAAAGAAGAATAAACATTTGGGGGCTAGAGCTGGAGTGATGGCGTAGCTGGTAGGGCATTTGCCTTGCACAAGGCTGACCCAGGTTCGATTCCCAGCATCCCATATGGTTCCCTGAGCGCTGCCAGGGGTAATTCCTGAGTGCAGAGCCAGTAGTGACCCCTGTGCATCCCTGGGTATGACCCAGAAAGCAAAAAAAAAAAAAAAGAATTTGTGCCTTTGGGCTGGAGAGATGGCACAGCGGGTAGGACATTTGCCTTGCACACGGCCAACCCGGGTTCAATTCCCAGCATCCCATGTGGTTCTCCGAGCACTGCCAGGAGTAATTCCTGAGTGCATAAGCCAGTACTAACCCCTGTGCATTGACGGGTGTGACCCAAAAAGAAAAAAAAAAAAAAACCTAGAAAGAATTATTTGGGGGCTGGAGTGATAGCACAGCAGGGAGGGTGTTTGCCTTGCATGCACCCAACCTGGATTCAATCCCCAGCATTCTATCGGGTCCCCTGACCACCGCCAGGAGTAATTTCTGAGGCAGGAGTAACCCCTGAGCATTACCGGGTGTCACCCAAAAGTCAAAAAAGTAAGTAAATAAAAGAATAAATATTTGGGGGCTGGAGTGATAGGACAGCAGGGAGGGTATTTCCCATATGGTCTCCCAGGCAGGACCAGGAGTGATCCCTGAGCACAGACCCAGGAGTCAACCTGTAGCACCGCCAGGTGTGACCCAAAACAAAACAAATAAACAAGAAAGAAGACCCTGGCCAGGCCCCCGACCCCCCCACCCTCACCATCCTGAAGTGTGCTCCAGGGGGTCAGCAGTCCAGCTGTGCCCTCGCTCGGTAGGGCCCCGACCTTCCTCCTAAAGAGAGAAACTGTCAGGTGCATCCCCTGTGAGCTGCCTGTGGGGAGTGGTTGCGTTTCTCGGGGTGATGGGAGATGGCACCCCATTCCCGGAGCCTTGTCAGTGGCCTGGAGCCCATCTGAGCCCCTGCCCTCTGCTGCCTCTTCCCATCCTGGCCCAATATCACTGCACCTGGCCCTCCCACACACAGTGGCCACATGCAGAAGGTGCCAAGCTGGCCGTGAAAAGGGGGCGAAGGGGCTGCAGGTTGTGCGGTCGGCCCTAAGAGCGCGAAGGAGGTGGTCACAATGTAGAGGGTGGGCAAGGGGTCAGACCAGACTCTGCAGGGACACGGCATCCGGGTTCTTGAAGCTGAGTGAGAAGGAATCTGGGCCTTGGGGTCTGGCCTCCTCCATGGCCACGTCTTTTCAGCTGAAAAAGAGTCGGGGCTAAGAGACGGCAGGACCAGGCCCTGGGGTGGACGGGGCGGGGGCATCCTCCTACAGAGACATCCCCCGCCCCCCCGCCTTCCCAAGCCCCCCCACAACGGAAGATGTCCTGCTCTTCCTGCTCTCTCTGCTGGACAAAGAGGCACATCTGTCCGCTTGCCAGAGGCCGAGTGGAAACAAGGTGACCCCTGGCCGGCACGAGAGCAGGGACACAAAGCACCTGCGTGGTCCTGCAGCTGGTGCTTCCGTCGTGCCCTGCATCCAGCTGAAAGTACTGTCACTAAGTCAGCCTGGGCATCATCTCTGCCCTGAATCCAGCTGGACCAGAAGCCAGCCCTTCCCCGACTCATCACATGGCCACTGTCGATCTGATTCTGTTGAGGGGCCAACGCCCCGCTCTAAATAAGGTTCCCGATACCCCCACTCTGTCTCTCCTGCACGCCTCTTCCCTCCTTGCCTTCCCCCTGGGGGGTAACAGACTCATAAACTGGTTGAGTGGATATGCCACAAGCACAAAAGAGAAGCTCCCAGCCACGCCACAGGGGGCATGAAGCTGCAGTGATGATCTTGAATGAAGTGGTTTGAGGCATCTGGCCAGGGCAGGACGCCCGCCTCTGGGAGGCCCGAGTCACCGGGGCTCGCTTCTCAGCTCATGCCAGGCCGTCCATTTAACCGTCAGTTCTCCCACACTCTCTGCTCCTCTGTCCACACCTGCCCACTTTGCCCAGCGCGCTGACCGGTGGTCTGGACAGGGCGGGACATTTTCTGCCCTGCTGACCAGCCTCTTGTCCTCGGCTGTTGACTCTTGGTTCCCCTTCCAGGAGCGCCCCAGCAGAGCAGCTGTTTTCCGCCCTGCCTCCTCGGGAGAAGCCAGGCCCTCCCCTACTCACGCGTTTGCCTAAAACAAGCCACGCAGGACGTCCGAGTGTGTTTCCACGGGCCCCAGCCACTGCCAACCTGCTCACCGTGGGCCTCTGCCCTGGATGGAAATTTTCCGGGCAGAGTCCAGAGCTGAGTAGGTTGGGCGTTCCAGCTAATTGTCCTGTGTCCAGTGCTCTCTAACGCCAGGGTGGGGGCCTCAACTGCTCTCAGGGAAAGTGAACAACAGGGCACCTGCACCCACCTGAGATGTGCTGCTCTCCACACTTCCTGCTCCAGCGTAGGCCCTCCTCTTCCAGGAAACCAACCTGTATTAAACTTATCTTGCTGGCACCCCCACCCCAGTCTTTTTTCTTCACTGGCTCTCTGTGCTATAAGGATCCTGCACGTGTGTGAGTGTGTGTGTGAGTCTATGCGCATGTGTGTATGTGTGTATGTGTTAGTGTGTGTACGTGTGTGTTCTATATGGCTGTGTGTGTCTATGTGGCTGTGTGCACACATATTTGTGTGTGTATGTCTATGTGGCTTTGTGTGTGTATGTGCATGCATGTGTGTGTATGTGAGTGTGTGTCTATGTGGCTGTATCTGTGTGTGTATAGACGTGTGTCTATGTGGCTGTTTGTGCGTATGTGTGTGAGTGTGTGCATGTGAATGTGAGTGTGAGTGCGTGTCTATAGAGCTGTATGTGTGTGCATGTGTGTCTATGTCGCTGTTTGTGCATGTGCGTGTGCATGTATGTGTGCAATGCATGCATGTGTGTGTGTCTATGTGGCTGTGTGTGTCTATGTGGCTGTATGTGCATGAGTGTATGTGTGTGTGTCTATGTGGCTGTGTTTGTGTTTGTGCGCCTGTGTATGTGTGTCCATGTGGCTGTATGGGTGTGAGTGCATGTGTGCGCATGTCTATGTGGCTGTGTGTGAACATGTATGTGCATGTGTATGTGGCTGTGTGTGAGCATGTATGTGCATGTCTGTGTGGCTGTGTGCAGGCTGTGTGCATATTTGTGTGCATGTGTGTGTGGGTATGTGTGTGTGTCTGAGTGTGTGCACGTTTGTGCATGTGTGCTGTGCATATGTACATGTGTGCGTGTGTGTGCATGTACATGTCAGTGTGAATGTGAGTATGCATATGTGTTGTATGCATGTGCATATGCACGTGTGTGCATGTGTGTGTTGTGTGTGCATGTGTACGTGTACGTGTGTGCGTGTGTGCCTTTAAGAGTGCGTGTGCGTGTGTGTGTGCATGTTTTATGTGCATGTGTGCATGTGTATGAGTGTGTGCGTATCTGTGTGTGTGGTGCTGAGAATCAACCCTCATACACACCAGCCTAGACTCTAGCATTGAGTTGCACCCCAGGGCCCTCCGCAATCAGGCATCTTGTTGCCATTGTGCCTGTTGTAGCTCTCCATCCAAGCACGCTTTCTGGAGCCCAAACACGCAAGCCACATGTCTGTCCATGCAGTTCCAGGGTGCTCCGAGCACCACAGTCGGTCCTTGGCTGCAATCACTGCCTGGCCCTTCTGGCATTGGTTCAATTTTTTCTTTTTTTAATCTCACACCTAAGCAAGGTACAAAGTGACGGGGCGGGGTGGCTGTTCGCTAAACATCAACCTTCCAGCCCTGCTACCACCTTCAGAGACTGACCCTAGGGCAACATCCTCCCTCCGCGGTGCAGAGGCTGCTGCTGGAGGCTTGGGCATCACTGGGGGGCTGAGGTTCCCCCTTTGTGGCTTCCCAGGAGTCGCCGGCACCGTCAGCACCACACGTGGCCCTCGACGATACTGTAGATCCCCACGTCCCTTGGGCAAGGGGCCTGTGCAGACCAGTCTGGGGGGCTGTGCCCTGGAGTGGGGCTCACATCCGGCCCCTCTGCTGGAACGAGGGTGGCCATGGCTGAACACCAGGGCCTGGGGCCCTGGGTGTCCCTTTCCTTCCCTCCCTCCTCCCCCTCCCCCCCCCCCCACCTGCTCTCCCTCTCCATCTCTCCCCTTTTCTGGAACCTTCTCTTGGGGCTGACTGCCTGCACCCTGTCTTCGAACAGATCAGGAAGCAGACAGGAGAATCCCCCAGGGATAGACCAAGGCAGAAGCCTAGGGGCCTGCTGTGGCACTCAGCACAGGCTGGCAGTGGGCGGAGATGCCAACTCCAACCCCAGCTACGCCTATCATCATGGTGTCGGACCTCTCCAGTGCCTGCACCCTGCCCCCATCTGTGGGGTGGGGTCCCCTTATCCAGTGCGTCTCACTGTGCCCACCCCAGGGTTCCCAGGTGAGATCCCCCCAGGCTTCTTTCCAAGGGACTTGTGGAGCATCTGGTGAGAGTAGGCGATGGCCTTGAGACTTTGAGGCTGTCGTACCCTTTCCATACCAGCCTGGGAGGAAGTGGAGTGGCTAGCGGTAGAGAGAGTGTAATGCCGAGAGTGTAATGCCAATCAGGGGCCTTCCCCCAGGGGTGTGTCCACTATCTGGAAGTGAGAGAAGGGACAGGACGACACCCCTGAAGTGGGGTGAGGGAGCATGGTTTGCCAATCCTTTGAGGCCGCATGGCAGCCGGTAGCACCTCAGTGTCGGCCAGGCATGACTGTGAAACTGAATGGGTGAAATGGGCATGATTGGGCTGGTGCCATAGGACAGCGGGGAGGCGCTTGTCTCGCACGCAGCCGGCCCGGGTTCCATCCCCGGCATCCCATAAGGTCCCCGGAGCACCGCCAGGAGTGATTCCTGAGTGCAGAGCCACGAGTAACCCCTGAGCATCACTGGGGGTTGATGCTCAACCAGAAAAAGAAAGAGAGAAAAAGAACAAGGCAAAACCTACCCCTGCTCCTTTCCCATTCTGTAGACTGTCTTTGTATTTTGGTCACTGTTTCCCTTGAGGTGCAGAAGCTTCTTAGTTTAAGGTAGTCGCATTTGTTCATCTGTTTCCACTTGCTTGGTCAATGGCGTTTTGTCCTTACACATACCTTTAGCGTCAATGTTTAGGGGGTTTTGACGGCCTTTACTTCAATGTACCTTATGGATTCTGGTCTGATGTTGAGATCTTCATGCACTTTTGTGCATGGTGTTAGGTAGAGGTCTGAGCCCATTTTCTTTTTTTTGCATGTAGCTGTCCAGTTTTGTCAGCACCATTTTTTAAAGAGGCTTTCCCTGCTCCACTTCACATTTGATGCTCCCTTATCGGAGATCATAACGATCATATACTTGAGGGTGTGTGTAAGGATATTCAACCCCATTCCACTGGTCTGTGGATCTGCTTTTTTTCCAATACCATGCTGTTTTAATTACTACTACTTTGTAGTACAGTTTGAATTTGGGGAAGGTGATGCCTCCCCATCTTTTTTCCCCCAAGAATTGCTTTAGCTATTCATCAGGGCTTGTTGTTCCATATGAATTTCAGGAGTGTTTGATCAATTTCTCTGAAGAATGTCATGAGTACCCTTACAGGGATCACATGGAATCTGTACAATACTTTGGGGAGTATTGCCATTTTGACAATGTTAATTCTCCAATCCATGAGCCAGGGATGTGTTTCCACTTCCCCATGTCTTCTTTTATTTCTTGAAGTAGCATTTTGTGTGGAATATAAAGTAACATACTAGGAGAATAACACCTAAGGGTAGTACAGATAAAAGCCAGGAGGGTGGCCCCACGGCTTGAAAGCCAATCTCATGTGATGGGGAAAAGGCAGGTGGGATGGAGAAGAGACCATTAAGCAAATGATGGTTGGAGGGATCGCTCGGGATAGTAGATGCGTGCTGAAAGTAGGCTATGGACCAAAGATGATGGCTGCTTAGTGCCTATGTTGCAAACCATAACACCCAAAAAGAGAGAAAGAAGGAATGTGTCTGCCACAGAAGCAGGAGGTGGGAAGGGGTGGGAATGGCGGGAGGGACACTGGGAACATTGGTAGTGGAGAATGGGCACTGGTGGAGAGATGGGCACTCGAACATTGTTTGATTGAAACACAATCACAAAAATTTGTAAGTCTGTAACTATCTCACGATGATTCATTACAATAAAAAATAAAATGGGGAAAAAAAAACCTACCCCAGCTCGCTGCCTGTGGGGAGGGGGTGGTTACAGGAAGCAGGAGGGGACCCACGACATTATAACCCCTCATCCCACACAAATGAATACATCAGAGATCACATGACACCCTCTCAGGCCACGGGAGCTGTGGGGACTGCAGAGTAAGATGGTGACTGGTCACAGGCCAGGCCTGAGGCCCTGTAGAGGCCAGGACAGGCCCCACCAAGGGAAAGGTGCTGTTAAGAAAGCGGGCAGGATCGAGGGGGATGTGGACAGTCCCTGGGTTCCTTGGGCTGTCCTCACCTTCCAACACCCTGGAGGACTTTGGAACTGAAGATTTGCATTATAAACATGAGTCGTAAGTGCCACTTATCATGATCCATCAGAGATGTTCAGCAGGATATCTCTGCCTTTCCAGGGCACAGGACTTGGACTGGGGGTGGGTTTTTGTGGGTTTTTATGGGAGGGCACACCCAGTGGTGCTCAGGAGTGATCCCTGGCAGTGCCCAGGATAGAACCAGGGTAACTGGCATGCCAGGCCAGTGCTCTAACCCTTGAAGTATCTCTCCAGTCCTTGCATATGGAGTGTTTTACCATGGGGCATTTTTCCTAAGCCCCCCACCTGTTCCCACCACGTCTCTCTCCCTCCCCCTTTCCTCCCTCTCTCTCTGTCTTTCTCCTTCTGTCTCTCTGTCTCTCTCTCTCTCTCATTCTCTCTCTCTCTTCCCCCTATCTCTCTCTCTCCCCCTTTTCCCTCCTCTCTTCCTCCTGGGATGTGTGTTCCTTTTGCAAGGATGCAATTCCAAAGGCCCAAGTGCCAGGTGCCCTACTCAGGGAAAAAGCCAGTAACTAACTCTATGTACCAGAACCATGCCAGATGGGCTGGAGAGATAGCACAGAGGGCAGGGTGCCTGTATTGCACATGGCTAACCCAGGCTTGATGCCCAGTACCCCATGGGATTCCCTGAGCACTCTCAGGAGTGAGCCCTAAGCACAGAGCCAGTAGTCAGCCCTGAGTACTGCTAGGTATGGCCAAAAAAACAAAAAATGAATAAATAAATAAATAAATGAGACCAGAGCTGTGGCCGCCTGGCTGGGACTCTACCGCCGTCTCCTGCTCCCCCAATCTGTGGCCCCTGGCACAGCCAGGGAGGGGCCTGCACCTCTGCCCACCCCCAAGCACTGCACAGGAAGGAGAGAGGGGCAAAGTTGATGCCTTTATTGCATTCTGTGGGGGGGCGGCTCCAGACCCCCATTCCAGGAGGGTGCTCAGGAAAGACCTGGGGCTGAAGCTGAAAAGCAAAGTCAGGAGGGCAGAGGGCAGAGGGCAGAGGGCAGAGGGCAGGCTCCAACCGCCAGATGCAGGGACTGTCCCTGCACCCACGGGTGGGTGGCATCCACCCCAGAACTGGGACACACACACTTCCCCATGCAGAGTCTGTGGTTGGGGCGGGGGGCCGGGCCTGGCTGCACCCCACCCCTTCGGGCCAGGGCACCAGCCCCCACCAAGTCCACAGCCCGGTGTGGCCGCCCTCATGTGGGCAGTGAGAGGGAGGCGGGGTCCAGCCCTCATTGAGCAGGGTGTGTGGGCAAGAGTCAGGCTGGGGTGTGTGGGGGGAGGGGCAGCAGGTGAGTGTGTGCTGGGTGGGGAGAAGGAGATGGACGGGAGTCCCAGGCACAGAAGGGCCGGGTGAGTGAGGTGCAGTGAGTCGAGGCAGCCCGGGGCACAGCCTGTGTGGGCAGAGGCCCAGGGCGTCCGGCAATGGCCAGTGTAAACTTCAAGGGGGGAGGGGGTGCCCCCACGCCAGGAGAGGCCAGAGTCGGGGTGAGGGGGGCCCTGAGTCCCTGGCTGAAGAACAGGTGAGGGCAGGCTGCTCCTCACTGGGGTGCAGTTGGGCAGAGGCCCTCCTCAGAGCTACCGCAAGCCTTGAGCCTTGGGGGCCCCGTCTCGGGGCGGAACCTGACCCGGGGACTGTGCACCACTGGCCTTGGAGCTGGGGACGGCCCTCCGCGTGCCCTGGGGACTGGCCAGGCCTCTCCGCTGGTGCTGGGGGCTCAGCTGGGGGCCCTTTCTGCCCGAAGATGGGCTCTTGGAGCCCTTGGCCTTGCCCTGAGGATGGGCCGGCTCGGGACCCTTGAGGGCCGTCAGCCCCAGCATGGCGCAGAAGGCGTTGCATCTGTGGGAGGCAGCAAACTGGTCAAGCAGCGCTGGGGCACAGCTCTCCTTCAGGCCCTGGTACCTGTGGCAAACGGGAGCTCAGCCGGGCGCTGTCCCCACTCTGACCTGTCCCCAGCAGCCATGCACACTAGGTCAGCTCTTCCCAGTCTGACACTTTCATGGGGCCCAGGGATCCTGGGGGGTGGGCAATCCCCCTGAGACGGGCCCAGGAGGGGGTCTGGCCCCGAGAGACCTCCCGGGACACTCACCCCCCCTGCTTGGTGGCGATCTGCACGTCCGTCATTTTCCAGCCGACCCCTGAGGAGAGATACGGTGGGCACTGAGGGCAGTGGGGCGGGTACCCCACACGTCTCTGCCCCTCCCCTGGTGAAGCAGGAAGGCCCCCAGGTCAGAGGCCCCCCGGACTCATGCAGGGATCCCTGGGGCCCCCCAGTGTGCACACGACACCGACTCCATCCTGCCCCTGCCCCAGTCCGCTTGCCCACAACTTCCTCTGAGCAGGAGGTCAGCCAGGGAACAGGGGCTGAAGGTGGGTGCAGACACCAAAACCCCCGAGGAGGCGGAGTGCTGATGGGGTCTCAGGTTCACAAAGCACCCAGGGACTCAGCACCCGTATGAGTGACCCAACCCCCGGACCCACACCATCGGGCACACTTGCTGGCCCTGTGTGATGCTCTCTGAGACCCATGTCCTCCTGTGGGGAGGGGCCCTGTCCAGACTGTCCCGGCAGGGCAGCTGAGCTTCAGATGAGGCCACAGGGGCCCTGCCCAGTCCACTTACGGGCAGAGGAGGAGCCCGGTGCTCAGCTCTGGGCCACGAGCACTCACACCTGTGCACACACATATCACACACCCGCACACACACACTCACACCCGCAAACACGCACTCACACCTGCACACACATGCACACACACACACACCCTCGTACACACTCACACACCCGCACACTCTTACACACCCGCACACACACTCTCACCTGAATACACACCCGTACACACAATCACACCTTCACACACACACCTGCACACCTGCATTTACACACTCGTACACACACCTGCACGCACACTCACACCTGCATACACCCACACACTCACACCTGCACAAACCCACACACACACGCTCACACACCTGCACATACACTCACACCCGCACACGCACACATACCCACACACATACTCATACCTGCATACACACACCCGCACACACCTGCACACATGCACCCACACACCCACAGCCCCAGACCCTCACCCCACCTACCCGCCAGGTCCGTGACCAAGAAGCTGCCGTTGGTCCACTGCAGCAGCCAGTGCTGGAAGGTCTGGCACTTGTGTGAGGTCTCGGAGGCGCCGGGAGCATCGCTGCCGCCCCACTCCCGAGAGCAGTGGACCTCCAGGGGCTGGCCCAGGTCCTCCTCCAGCGTGGCGTAGGGGATGTGGTTGGCCGGCCGGTAGATGAGGTACAGTGGGATGACCCTACACGGGGCAGCCCCCCCCCATCAGTGCCCAGTCCTGCCTGCTCTGAGCTCAGTGGGGCACGGAGGCCCAGCCAGGAGAGTGTCATGGTGGGCACACGGGTAATGAAAAGGAACATTCTAGAGAAGATCCCAGCAGACTGGGCTGGGTACCCGGCCGCCGACAGCCTGGGAAGGCCGAGGTAGGGCTCAGGGTAGCACAGGCGGCGGGGATGGCCGAGTCCTGCCCCAGGAGCCCAGCGCCCTGACTCTGCCTCAGGGAGACATCAGCAGGCAGGGGGCGGGCGGGGACACCGGGCTCCACCCGGGGGTTCTCGTTCTTGGTGTTGCCATGACGGAGATGGTGCCCCAGAGAGGCTATAAAATCCCGTCCTTTGCAGACGGTCGAGACAACAGATCCGAAGCACCCCAGCACCCATCCTCCACCGACACCCAGCAAACACACTCACTCGGGCACCTCCCCGAAGCCAGGCACAGCGCGGGCCTCAGATGCGAAGATCTTGCAGTATTCGCGGGTCATGTTCTGGATCTTGCAGCCCTGAGGGTGACAGGGACCCCGAAGCAGATCAGCACAGCACAGATGCCCCCTGCGCCCTCCACACCCCCGCCCCTTGGCACTCCTTCTGCCTCATCCCCTAGGAAGAGACCCCCACCCTGTCCAGGCAAGGCCGGGAGAGTGGCTGCCCCCAGCTCCTGCCCGAAGTCCCGCCTTGCCGTGCACCCTGACTCTCTCATTCGTCAACTCAGAGGCTTGGATTTGGTCCACAGTGGCTTCCAGGCACCTGGCACCTGGGGTTCCCGGTGAGAATGGTGGAGAGATCGGTGCCACCAGAAGGGGGAGCTCAGACCAGCAACGGCACCCAGGACCCCCCTACTGCAGGAGGGCAGCGGCAGAAGGTCCTACTGCCAACAACGCCATCCTGGAAGCACGGCCCCAGTGCCCCAAGCGCGCCTGCCCCAGCATGTGGAGCTGGTCTCAGCCTCTCGCCCGGGGCCAGCCCAGGACGCTCAGGCGGAGATGACTCTTGTGCCCCTGTGTGTACCTGGATGGTGACATCGTAGTTCCTGCCCAGGAGCGAAGTCTCGCTGCTGGGTCCGAACACCAGCAGGCTGGACACCTTGATGATGCACGTGCAGCCCGACTCGAAGACAGGCTCCAGCCCGTAGATGACCTTGGCCCGAGACGCCTTCCGCAGCCCGCACCCGCGGCCCCGGCCTGGGAGCTCCTCGCTCACCAAGCGCCCGAAGAGCTTGTCCCCCCAGCAGCCGGAGCCAGCCAGGCCCTTGGCAAACACCATGGGGGTCATCTCGATCTCTTCTCCCACTGAGGGTGAAGGACACAGGTGGGAAACAGGCGCCCCATCCCCTGCTTGCCGGCCCCCCTGTGCCTGTCTCGCCCTCTGAGTCCCCCACCCAGTGGCAGCCCGGCCAGTGCCTGGGGCGTAGGGGACTTCAGTGCAAGCGGCGGAAGGCAGACACTCTGTCCTGCCTGATCAGCACTGAAGCCGACAAGCAGACAATTTCCTTTTTCAGTTTTGGGGCCACTAAGCAACGCGCAAGGCAGACTCCTGGCTCTGTGCTCAGGGGTCAGCCATGGTGGTGCTGGGGGAACCATATGGGGTGCTGGGGATCAAACCCGGACAAACGCCCTCCCTGCTGTCCTATCATTCTGGCCCCAGACTATCCCCTTAGCCCCCGTGTTTTATTTTGGTTTGGAGGCCACACCCTGCAGTGCTCAGGGGTTACTCCTGGTCTCAGAAATCACTCCTGGCAGTGCTCAGGGGTGCTGGGGTTTGAACCCGGGTCAGCAGCATGCAAGGCAAATACCCTCTCTGCTGTTTTATCATCCCAGCCCCAGATTATCCCCTCTTAGACCCTGTGTTTGACTGAGACAAAACACCTGCAGGACCCACTGCGTAGCAGGACCCTTGACCTTCCTCTCTTCCAGCAGCTGAGCCCCCCTCACTCCCCCCCACCGCCCCATGGGAACCTCTGCTCCTACCCCGGGGCGCCGAACCTTCGCCTTCTTCTCTGGAGATGAAGCCGGACAGGACTGTGGAGAGAAGGAAGAGACCGTGGCTGGCCCCAGCTCCTGCCCTGCGCCGGCCTCGCCCGCACAGGGGGGCAGGTCTCGGGGGGGGGGGGGGGGCTCACCCTCGGGGCTGAGGCGGAAGTCGGTGGAGGCGGCCCCGTGCTCATTCCGGATCTCACAGCGGTACACGCCGCAGTCCACGTCTGATGCCCGCACAATGGCCAGGGCCGCAGGCCCCTCGTCCCCTGCGCTGCGGGAGGGACCTGCCCGTGAGGTACACCCCGCCCCCAGCTGCAGGGACATGGGAGTCTCCGGGATACTGTGTAGACCAGCATGGGCTGGGGCGTGGGGGAAACGTGATGCCTCATCCTCGCCCACCAGGTGGCGGACATGTGGGGGGGGGGGTGTCTCTGCCAGGGTGAGCCCGCAGATCAGGTCAGAGGCACTGGGGGGCAGCGGGCCCAGGGCAGGGTCCCGGGGTCTGACCTCCTGCCTGTCTCGCCCACTGGGCGCTGGTCCTTGGTCCAGGTCAGCACCGAGTCACTGAGAAGGTTGAAAAACTGACACCAGAGCTTCAAACTGCCAGAAGTGTCCGCGAAGGCCTCTACCCGGATCTTCCGGATCACCTGCGGGGCTGAGGGCAGGGCGGGCTGAGGGGATGGGGACTCTCGGGGCAACCCGCTGGCCCCTGGGGATCTGCAAGGTGCAGGTAAGAGCTGACCAAATCCCAGTGTCCACCCCAGGCACCCTGGGGCCCCCAGCCTGGAACTGGCAGCAGCTACAGAGAGGGGTCGCGACTGAGGCCACATGGCATAACCCCAGGGAACTGAAGCATCTCTGGTTCCATCCTTCACTCGGGCCACGGCACCAGGAGCACTTTACACAGAGGCTCAGTTGGGCTGGCAGCCTCCTGGCAGGCCTCCCTCTTCCCCCTGCTCACCTTTCAGCGGGTCTGTGACTCTGCTGGGCTTGGCAGGGCCATCCTGCTTGGCCTCCTCGGGGGCGGCCTCCATGCCCGCTTCCGCTGGCTCCTCCTCGGCCCGTGGCACCTCCAGCAGGCTGGCCCTCCGGGCCTGGGTGGGGGACCGCCTCTCCCGCCCGGGAGAGCCAGGCGCAAGGCCCTTCCTGGACCCCCGGGGTGACACTGTGGGGCTGTCCCTGTCCTCCCCTGCAGCCTTGGCCTTGGGGAGGAATCGCTTCCTCCGAGCCCCCAGAGCCAGTTCCTGAGGCGTCGCTCCAGGGAGGCTCGTGGGGGCTTCCTCTGGGCTCGCCTGTGCCTGTCCCTGGGGGGGCTCCGGGCTGCTGCCTTCTGCAGGGAGGGGCTCCTGCAGTTCTCCATCCACAGGCTCAGGCGTCTCCTGCCCGGGGATCTCCTCGCCCACCACAATGGCGGGCACAGAGAGGCCGGGGCTGGAGCCTCTAGCAGCTGCATCTAGGGCCTGCGCCTCCCGCTCCAGGAGCCCCGTGAGGCGGCGGGAGGTGCAGGGGCTGAGCGGCAGGATCTGCGCGCTCTGCACCAGGTGGTCGCTCCCCGCCTGCTCCAGGAGACGGCGGGACGTGCGGGGGCTCAGACCGGCCACCTCCACGCCAGGCTCGGCGCCCGACAGCTGCAGCAGAAGCAGTAAGTAGTTCTTCAGGGAATCGATGAGCCCCGGGTCACAGCTTCGGGGACGTGGCATGTCCCTGTGCCTGCTAGCTGCGGGGGCGTCCTGGGACTGACCCTGCTGGGGGGCTGCCTGCAGGAATGGAGGAGCTGCTGTGCTGGGGGGCCCCTCCTGTGGGCAGCTGCTGGGGTTGGACACCCCCGGGCTGGGGACAGCTGGGGGACAGCCGGCCGCTCCCACACACGGTGGCTCCCCAGGCAACTGCTCCAGTGGCCCGGGGAGGGTCAGGCCGCCGCCATCCAGCGGCGTTGCCCCTCCTGGTGGCTCCGGGCCATCTGCAGGCAGCCTCTGTCGGGAGCATGTGCCAGTGGCCAGGCCCGGACATGCTGCCCGCTGCTGCCCAGAGGCGGGGGCCTCGGCCTCGTCAGAGCCAGGACTAGCGACAGCAGACACTTGAGGCGTCAGCCCGGGGGACTCAGTCACCAAAGGAGGCCCCTCTGAAGGGGGTGGCCCAGGGGCTAGGGGCTGTGGGCTGAGGCCACTCACTGACACCTTCTCTGGCTGACCGTCCACAGTTGTGGGCAAATTCTCTCCTTTCTGCCTCCTCTCATCCTGCATACTTCCATCTTCCTGCATCCTTTCCGCCCGTGTCCCCAGCCTTTCCTGGGCCACCACATCCTCCAGGGAGTTCTGGTCAGGCTCAGGCCTCCCTCTCTCTCCTGCAGCCTCATCCACTGTGGTCCTCCGCTGTCCCTGTGGCCTCCGTTCCACCTGTGCATTTCCCCGGTCACTAGCCACACGGTCAGCGCACATCGACTTGTCCCCCTGGGCCGCTGTGTCCACAGGTTCTGTGGGAACCTGACTAGTGGGCATGCCATGGCCGGCAGGATCCTGCTCTGCCCGAGAGTTGGCCAATGGAGAAGGAGGCAGAGTAGCTGGGGCACTGGGGGCCTGTGAACACAGGGACAGATACGAGAATGTCAGCCACCCACCCACACTTTGTCCCTCCAGCCTCCCCAGGGCAACTGGCCCCCAGCTTCTCAGGCCTCAGGGTGGCAGGCAAAGGCCATATCCACAGGGCTATCCTGAATCCCAGACTGGAGGCGAGGACACCCCGCCCTTTGCACACTCCCTGGGGGACACTGCCCTGGGCCACCCTGTCCCTCACGCCTCACCCCAGGACTCCAAGCCGCCAGCTGACTCCAGACAGAAGCAGTCCGGGGAGGGGGGCAGCGGACGGGGAGGGGGCGCATCCACCATTATAGCTGAGTTCAGAGCGATGCCGCCCCCTACCCCCATCCAAACAGACTGACTCCTCAGCAGCAGATCTGCCCCTCTGAACACACGCTGTTTGCAAAGCACCATGCGGGACTCTCAGCCAGTGGGGGTCTCACTGACCCCCAGCAACACAGAAACCACAGTTGTGGTTAAAGGGTAAGGGTGTGCCCAGCTCTGGGAAGAAAGGGAGTGAGGAGGAGAGAAGATAAGAAGGGTCCAGAAGACGCTGGAAGCTTCAGACCCCATGCAGCCAAGCCCCGATCTATGTGGGATGCAGGCGCCTGCCTACATGGGAACAGACAGAGGCGCTCTGTTTCCTTCTGGTGTTTGACTTTTGCTTTTTGGAGTTTGATTTGGGGGGCCACACCTGGTGAGGAGAGGCTCAGGGGTTACTCCTAGCTCAGGAATCACTCCTGGCTGTGTTCAGGATGCCGGGAATCGAATTAGGGTCAGTCATGTGCAAGAAAGCACCCTCCCGCTGTGCTATGGCTCCAGCCTCTCCTTCTGGATGTATGAAAAATGACAACAACCATTCATGCATAGCAGAGGCACCACACGGAAACCCAAAGCAAAACACTAACCAAAGGAGTTTAAAATATATATCATTATGGTGGGGATGTGGTTCCACATCTAAAAATCCCCTTGCATGTGTGAAGTCCTGGTTTGATGCTTAGCGTGTACACACACACACACACACACACACACACACACACACACATACACACACACAAACACACATACACCCACATTCAAGTTATCCAAATTAACAGAACTTAATTCACTGAATATAGGACTCTGAAGAAATGGTATACTTATGGGGAAAATAAAGGTAAAGGTAAAGGTAAAGGCCCTCCCGTTGATCGTCGATTTGCTCGAGCGGGCCCAGTAACGTCTCCATTGGAGACGTTGTTGTTACTGTGTCTGGCATATCGAATACTCTCGGTAGCTTGCCGGGCTCTCCGAGAGGGGCGGAGGAATCGAACTCGGGTCGGCCATGTTGGCCGCATGCAAGGCAGACGCCCTACCCGCTGTGCTATAAGAATGCTGAAATTTTTATTATGGGTTTGGAAAGCAAAGAAACTGACCAAATCTATTTAGCATTGTTGTCCCTTGGGGCTGAATATACACATGGCATGAATAAGATTATAACCTTACAAAACCACTTCCCCCCCACACACACACTCCACTCAAAAACTTCTTACCACAGAACCTGCCAATCATATAAAAATGTAGCCAGGAGGGCTAGAGAGATAGTCCAGTGGGTAGGGCGCTTGCCTTGCATGCAGACAACCCAGGTTTAATCCCTGATCCCCAGCATCCCACATAGTCCCTGTGTCCCATCAGGAGTGATCCCTGAGCACAGTCTGGGGTTAGCCCTGAACTCCACCAGGTGTGACCCAAACACAAACAAACAAACAAAAAATATTGTAAAGAGACTCTTGCCCTGAGCACAGAACTAGGAGCCCAGCCCTGAGCACAGCTGGGTGTTGCCCAAAAGCCAAAAACCAAAAACAAAACAAAACAAAAAAAAAAAAAAAACAAGGACTGTGCCAGCACCGATAACAAGAGAAACACCCATTAGCAAAGATATCCAAACTTTGTGTTTGACATTAGGGTACTGAGAAATAGCCATATGGGCCTGTGGGGTTATGCATTTAGGAAGAAGAAGTTGATTCTCTCACAAAAAGGGTCAAAACTTTTGTTGTTTTTTTTTTTGTTTGGGGGCCACAGCTGTCAGTGCTCAGGGCTTATGCCTGGCTCTGCACTCAGGGGTCATTCCTGGCGGGCACGAGGTACATATGGGATGCCAAGGACCGCACCCAGGCCAGCCGCGTCCAAGGAAAACGCCCTCCCCACCGTCCTATTGCTCCAGCCCCCTTGTGAAAACTTTTTGGATAAAAGGTGGGTGCGCTGGCCATGTCCCTCAGCTGCTCAGTTGTGGGGTCCTATGGAACTCACGGCCCCATTATCTCCTTCCTACCCCCTCCCTCCCCACCGCTCAATCAGACTGCCACCAGCTGTTCTCAGTGCTGCCAAGCCTGGCTGGTCCCCATGACTCTTGCCCTTGCTAAACCCCTCGAACCCCTATGTGACTTTTCCAAAACACAGTCTGGCAGGGACACGCCCCTGCTTAGAGGCTCAGTGTCACCCTCAGGGATAAACACTAAGAACCCAGTCGGAAAGAACAAAACATTTACGGACAGTCTATGGCCCAAGTATAGGGGACAGACCCCACCACCATCTGCCATTATCTTACAAAGCTAAAAATAACGTCTACACTTTGACCCAGCGATTCTGTTCCTCGGAATTCAGCCTCCAGAGAGTCACGTAGTCAGTCTGCTGATAATGTTGGTACTCAGCCTCCTGATATGTGGAAATGGACTTCGAGATAAGGGTAGTCACCAGTTAACAAGAGCAAAACACTGGTGTTACTAAATGCCTTCAGAGACACGCTGAGCCACTGAGCCTTGAGAGACTCTGCCTCTGTCACCGAGGAAGTGGCCAAGTAGAAAAGTTAAGAACAGGAACGTAAATAAACATGCAACCTGCAGGTCAGCCAGGGAGATGGTTCAAGTGTCAGAGCACACACAGGGCGGAGCCCTGAACTCTAGGCCCGGCCCAGCAGGAGTCCTGGAGCACTGCCGGTGTGAACCCTGGAGGGTTTCCCTTAGACAGTGCAGCTCAGAGGCAGAGTGTGAGGGCTAACAGGCGTTAGGCATCCTGCATCTCAAAAAAAAAAAAGAAAAGAAAAGAAAAGAAAAAAAGCACAAAAACGGTTTTCCATGCATTTAAAAAAATGGGCTGGGCAAAAGGAGAGAGAGGGGGTAGGCAGGAAAAGAGAGAGGGGGAGAGAGAGGCAGAGAGGGAGAGAGAGGAAGAGGAGAGAGAGGGAGAAAGTGAGAGAGGGAGGGAGAAAGGGAGAGAAAGAGAAAGAGGGGAGAGAGGGAGGGAGGGAGAGAAGGAAGGAGGGAGAGAGAGGGGAAGAGAGGAAAAGAGAGGAAGAGAGGGGGAGAGAGGGGGGAGAGAGAGCGAAGGAGAGGGGAGAGAGGGAAAGGGGGATAGAGAGGGAGAGAGAAAGAGGGAGAGAAAGAGAGGGAAAGAGAGGGAGGTATGGAGAGAGGGTAGTAAAGAGAGAGGGAGGGTGGCTGTCACAGAGGCAGCCTGGGGAAGGGGGCTGGGAGGGAAACTGAGGACATTGGTGGTGAGAAATGTGCACCGGGGAAGGGACGGGTGCTAGAACATTACATGACTGAAACCCAACCATGAACAACCTTGTAACTGTATCTCACGGTGGTTCATTTTTTTAAAAAATTAAAAATAGGCAATAAATAAAAAAATGGGCTGGGGGTATAATTCAGGTGGCAGAACGCAAACCTGGCATGGAGGCAGCCCCGGGTTTGAGCCCTGCCACCACACTGGAACACGACCAAGAATGCCCCTTCCCCAAAACATAAGCACATGCACTGGGCCAGAGACAGCAGAGCCAGGAGAGCACTTGCTTGCATGCGGACAGCCAGACGCAACCCTAGCACCGCACAGGGTCTCCACAGTCCTGCCAGGAGTGATCCCGAGAACAGAGCAGGGAGTCAGCCCTGAGTTCTCTGGTCGCCAGCTGCGACCCAAGAACAAAAGGCAGAAGCCAGGGAGTGAGAGCACAGCAGGGTTGGGGGCGGGGGGCTTCAGCCACTGTTTCATCTCCCCTGAGCCAGGCACACGGTCCAAGCCCTGGAGCTCTGCCTTGGGGCGCGCCATGCCTTCGCCCAGCCCCACTGTGACCTCCCTGCCCCTCCCTCTGTGCCTGGGGGTGTCTCCCCACCCGCAGTCTCCCACAAACATCATCCTTCCGCCGCCTTGGCCCCCTTTCCCCACAAATCCACGGTCCTCCTTCTCCCTCCATCCTGCTTCCTGTCCCTCATCACTGTCGCTCATCACCCACCTACACCTCTCGGGGCACCACTGAGCCGAAAGTGCAGAGGGAATGTAGCCACGGAAGCGAGATTTAAAACACCCGATCTCAGCTGCGACCACGGGACTCTGTCAAGTGCCTGCCCAGTGGGCGGGTGAGGACGGCCAAGGGTTGGGGGTGGGGAGGGAACCTGGGAACACTGGTGGTGGGACTGACGTTAAAGTATTTTGTACAGTGGGGTTCCTGCCCAATTCAATCAGCTTAATCAATGGCTGAACAAATAGCAGTACTCCTACGTTATTTTAAATAAATAAATAAATAGCACTGTATAGCACTGTCCTCCTGTTGTTCATCGATTTGCTCAAGCGAGCCCAGTAACGTCTCCATTGTGAGACTCGTTACTGTGTTTGGCATATCGAATATGCCATGGGGAGCTTGCCAGGCTTTGCCATGCGTGCAGAATACTCTCAGTAGCCTGCCGGGCTCTCAAGACGGGTGGAGGAATCGAACCCAGCTCGGACGGGATGGCAGCTTGCAAGGCAAATGCCCTACTGCTGTGCTATGTGATAGCACAAATAAATAAATAATTTTTTAAAAAATAAATATTTAAAAAATTAAAAATAGGGACTGGAGCGATAGCACAGTGGGTAGGGCGTTTGCCTTGCACGCGGCCGAACTGGGTTCGATTCCCAGCATCCCATATAGGGTCCCCTGAGCACCGCCAGGGATAATTCCTGAGTGCAGAGCCAGGAGTAACCCCTGTGCATCGCCGGGTGTGACCCAAAAAGCAAAAAAATAAATAAATAAATAAATAAAACTAAAAACAAAAAATTAAATTAAAAATAATATAATAAATAAAATATTATATATGTATGTATATGTGTGTATATGCCTAAAACTCAACTATTGATGACTTTGTAAATCATAGTTCTTTAATTAAAGAGAGAGAGAGAGAAACACAGATGAAGCCTCAGGTCAAGACAGATCTGTGCGAATTTGAGAAGCACAGGTCAAGATGCCCCAGAACACTGTGCCTGGCACCCCCTCCCCAAACCCCAGCTGGGTGGAGCCAGCAGAAATCACTACCCGCTCCCTGCAGCCCCATCCCCCCTGGCGTGGATTCCCAGGCAGGGCCAGGCCTGGACCCTGCCTCGCCCCCTCTATGAATAGCTCCCAGCTCACCAGCTGCCCGCTGAGCTCAGCTTCCCAGAGCAGCCGGCCCCTTCACACTCACCTCTCCTGGAGCCCCGGCTCTGCGCCGGGCTGGGGGCGTCGGGCTAGGGGCAGGAGCCGCTGATGACTGTGTCTTCCCTGAGCTTGGGGCTGCGGGGTCCGGAGCTTGACCTGGAGGAGCACTGGGATCCCCTTTGGGCTTCGGGGGGGCGAACCTCTTCCTGTTGAAGGGCTTCGGGGCCTCGGGGCCCGGGGTGGGTGTGGGCTGCCCCGGGTCACTTGTGCGCTGGCTGGGGGCCTTCCCTGGGACCCCCCGGGACTGGGGGTCCTCTTCCCTCTGAGGCCCAGGTGTCTGGGTGCTTTCTGCATACAAGTCCTTCAGGGAGAAATACACGTCTGGACTTGGGGCTGGGACCCTGGCAGGGATGAGAACTGAGACAGGAACTGGGACTGGGGCAGGAATAGGACAGAGGGTTGAGGTAGATACCCCGGCAGGGGCCGGGGTCTGGACAGGGGCAGGTGCCCGGGTCGGAGCTGGGATCTGAACAGGGGCAGGTGGCCGGGAAGGAGCCGGGATCTGAACAGGGGCAGGTGGCCGGGCAGGAGCCAGGGTCTGGACAGGGGCAGGTGGCCGGGCAGGAGCCGGGGTCTGGACAGGGGCAGGTGGCCGGGCAGGAGCCGGGGTCTGGACAGGGGCAGGTGGCCGGGCAGGGGCTAGGGTCTGGACAGGGGCAGATGCCCGGGGAAGGGCTGAGGTCTGGACAGGGGCAGTTGCCCGGGAAGGGTCAGGGGCTGGGGTTGGGACAGGGGCAGATGCCCTGGGAGGGGTCGGGGTCTGGACAGGGGCAGGTGCCCGGGGAGGGGCTGGGGTCTGGACAGGGACAGGTGTCTGGGCAGGGTCAGAGGTCGGGACAGGGGCAGGTGCCCGGGGAGGGGCTTGGGTCGGGACAGGGCCAGGTGCCCGGGCAGGGGTCAGGGCCGGGGTTGGGACAGGGGCAGGTGCCCGGGCAGGGGTTAGGGCCGGGGTTGGGACAGGGGCAGGTGCCCGGGGAGGGGCCGGGGTCTGGACAGGGGCAGGTGCCCGGGGAGGGGCTGGGGTCTGGACAGGGGCAGATGCCTGGGCAGGGTCAGGGGCCAGGGTCTGGACAGGGGCAGATGCCCGGGCAGGGGCTGGGGTGGGGGTCAGGGATGAGGTAGAGGCTCGGGGAGGGGCAGGGACAGATGCCTGGGCAGGGGATAGGGGTGAGGTAGAGAGTGGGGCAGGGGCTGGGGGGCTCGGGGCCTGCCCTGGAGAGTCCGGCGCTGACCGCCTGCGGCTCTCTGCCACAGGGCTGCCCTGTCCACCTGCAGTCCTGCCTCTAGGCTGGGACTGAGCTGCATCTGTGGCGACCACCGTCCCCAGGGGCCCCTGGGTGTCTGACTTGTCCGAACTGGGGGCCGAGTTCTCATTAGTTGAGGGGCTCCGCCCTCCAGGTGGAGGCCTCTCATCTTTCTTCTTCTTCTTGGCCCCAGACCCCTTGGGGGGTGTCCTGTGGGTGCCCAGTTCCATGGCCTCACAGATGTAACCCAGCAGGTTCTGCTCCGCGTCCTCGCCGTTCTTGGGGGCAGCCTCGCCATTGGGGGTCCGCTCTCCGGGAGCCACGCTCTGGGCCAGGCCCAGGCCTGGCTGCGGGCCAGGCTCGGCCTCCCCAGCCTGCCAGGCCTGGGGGGGTGCAACTTCCACCTCCTTGCTGGGGGCTGCGGGCGCCTGGGCCCCACTGAGTCTGCGCTTCCGCTGGAATCGGTCAGGGCTGAGCTTCCTCAGGGCGTCAGCCTCATCCACCGCCCCCTTGCCCTGCTTCCAGTTCTGCTCCATGTCCCGCATCTTGGCCACGGCCTTGCGCTTCAATCTGGCAAACCAGCGCTGGTGGATCTTGTACTCAGTCATGGGACCCACCTCCAGGACCCCAGAGCAGGACACAATGCCCTTGGAGTTGTGGGCAGAGGCCTGGTAGATGGCTGCATCTTCCTCTTGGCACCTGGGGCGAGGGGCAGGGGCTGGTCATGTGGTCCCCCCCGCCCCCCGGCTCCTCACCCAGCATCGGACTGTCCTACACAGGGGAGGGGATGAGGTGAGCACGCAGTGAGCTGGCCAAGGTCGCCCTCCTGGTAGCAACAAGACATGGGGTCCCCAGCAGGCTCCCTGTGAGAGCAGGTGATGTGCACAGTCCTGGCGGCCACTGTGATGATACGGGAGCTATTTCTGGCAGATGACCTCATGGAACATGTTTCTGTGGGCCGGGCCCTCTGTGGGCCGGGCCCTCTTCCCTGGCTGTCGGAAATACCCCACCCTGGCCAAGGACAGGCCAGACACTGGCGGCAGAATCCCCAGGGCAGAGAGGATGGGACAGGGCCCCTCCTCACCTGTAGAGCTGCAGTGTATGACAGTTGCCCTGACGTGTGATCTCATACTTGGGCAGCCCACAGTAGCGGTCCAGCTCCACGTCATCCTTGTACCAAGTCACCTCGGGCTCTGGGTACCCTGAGAAGGAAACGGGAGGAGACCGGGTCACCATTCCAGAACGTGGCACCCTGTCAACGACTGGCGTCCTGCTATGATGGAAGGGCCCCTAGCACTTGGCTGGGAGAGAAGAACTTCCTTTCCGTAACTCAACTGCAACAAAAGTCCCACTGGCCCCAACATCCTCCACCAACACCCCACAACCACCGTCATCATTGCGAGGACCCTCCTCATATTCCAGCCTGCTGGCTCACCCCCACCCACCTGCCAGATGCTTATCAGCTACCAGACCCAGATATTCATCTATTTGCCCATCCAACAAACCCACCCACCTACCCTCCCATTCACTCATCATCCAACCATCCACCCAGTACACATGAATCCATCAAACGTACCTCCACCTGTCAATCCATCTAACAAATCCACCCCATCCGTCCTTCCATTCATCCATCCATGTGTCTCCCTCCATCCACCTATCGATTGATCATTCATTCCTCTATCCATTATCCATTCCACCCCTCTCCATTTGTTCTTCTGTCGACATTTACCAACCCACCAGCTCACAGCTGTGACACTGTCTGCCCAGGCTCTGGCGACGTCTTGTGGCATCCACCCTGGTGTTTACCATATTAAACATATGCTTACCATATGATCCAGTTGTTTACCATATTACCCTCTCTCCGTGGCATAAAGCTGACTGTCCCCAGCTTGTCTAATCTAACTCTTTAAGCTAAAATTGGAAATTAGGACCTCAAAAAATATGTATAGCTGAAAAAATTTTTTTTCAAAAATTTGGGCCTTGAGGCTGGAGCGACAGAACAGTGGGTAGGGTGTTTGCCTTGCATGCAGCCAACATGGCTGACACAGGTTCGATTCCCAGCATCCCATAAGGTCCCCGAGCACCACCAGGAGCAATTCCTGAGTGCACGAGCCAGGAGTAACCCCTGAGCATTGCCGGGTGTAACCCAAAAAGCAAAAATAAATAAATAAAAATTTGGGCAGTACCCACCAGTGTTCAGGGATCACTCCTGACAGTGCTTGGAGGGGGTTATATGTGGTGGTGGGAGTATCCAACTGGGGTCGGCCACATATCAAGCTCCCTAGCCCTGTTACATATCTCTAGCCCCTATATTTATCTGGAAATTTTACTTTGAAGGGATACAGCCGTGGTCCACCACATGGACCGAAAAGCAGACAGGGTGCTTTGCAGCAAGGTGGAAAAGGCAGAGCTGACGTTCACAGAGGAATGAGAGGTGAATGACAGCATCTGAGCGACAACTCCAGCCCAGCCCGGTCAGCACCACAGCCAACCACTGTGCCTCCTGCCCTCCCAGACACCCTTGTCACGTGCTTGCCATCAGGTGAGTGAAGGACAATGTGGCAGAGTCCACACCTGACTGGGGACAAGGACAGGCCTGTGGTCTCAGCAGAATCTGGACGGCCTTCGAGGGGAACAGAATTCCAGAGGAGTGGGTTCACAGGACCAGAGAGATAATAGCACTTGCCTTCCATGTTCCACCCCTGGAACCTCACATGGACCCCCGAGCACCATCCGGAGTGATTCCTGAGTGCAGAGCCAGAAGGAAGCCCTAAGCACCACTGGGTATGGCCCAAAACCGAAACGAACAAACGATGGAGTGACTCCTGAGGGCCTCATCCTGTGCCCATAACAGACTCCTTTCTCCTCTGTGTGTTTTCCGGATCTATCCCCCAGGGGCTGGAACCAAACCTTCCTGACACCCCATTTCTGCCACCTCCCACCATTCCTCCCACAGAAAAGGAGCATGAGAGCCTCGGGGAAGTAGGTACAGGCAGAGGCAACCGAGGGCAGGGCTGATGGAAGGGCCACAGGCTGCGGAGGGGGGACAGGTGGGGAGGGCACATTGGCGGGGCTGGGCGGCCCAGAACAAACTCTGGGCAGCCCCAGCTGTAAAGCGAGCCTTGTGTTTCCACTGAGCAAAGCCCCCAGTTACATCATGTGTGCGTGGCCCGGCCAGAACAGGTGTCCAGCGTCCAGGGGGTGACCTCACCCCTGCCAGAGCACTGCCGCATGAATCACACCCCAGGGCTGGGGAGAGGGGGTGGGGAGGACGGGAAGGGCGCTCCGTGCGTCCTCACAAAGATGGGGGCAGCCTGGATGCGTAGGGCGGCTGTGGGTTCGGGAAAGCCCTTTAGTTGGGAAGGTTTCCCCCCATCGCTCTGTGAACTCAGATTGTAAAATCTAAAACCCGTGAAAGCTGAGACTGTCCCATCCTGAGGCCCCCACACACCAACCAACCTAAAGCATGTGATGTTCAGGGCTTACTCCTGGCTCTTCACTCTGGAATCACTCCTGGTGGTGCTCAAGGAACCCTGCCGGGGGATGGAACCAGGGTCAGCCAGGTGCCAGGCAAGTGCCCTCTCAAATAATGGCTCCGGTCCTTTATTTCCTTCTTTTTACTCATGGGGTACGCTCTGCTCCCTCCCTTCTAGAGAAGCTTCTCTCCTGAATGTGGTCTCTCTCTTTCTCCTCGTAGGTTCCTAAATAAAACTATTTTATCTCACCAAAACACATATACATACACACACATACACAGGAAAGGTCAACCCAGCTTGTTGTGTACGTGTGTGGCTTTGTATGTGTGCCCACAGGCAGGCGTGAACATTTGCTCGCACGCACACACACACACTCACATGTACACACACTCACAGGCATGCACACTTGGACGTGCACGCATGCACACCTGCCCAGTGCTGGCGGTCTGGGAGCCCTGGCTTTGCTCTTGCCCTTCACACCTCAGACAGTACATCCCAGCCAGCAGACCGAGGGCTGAGACCCGGCCAAGACTTGGCCCCTTTTCCAGTCATTCCCAGGTGGAACCAGCTCGGATGGAGGAGAAAGAGGCGACTGTGTGCAGAGCTTTCAATGCTCTTTCAGAGCTAGTGTTTCTGTTGGCCTCACCAGGGTCCCGTGAACGCAACTGCTAAGGTTTACTGAGGCCCATGGTGTGCCAGGGTTATGGGTGATTGGTTATCAATGCTCCATTGAAGGCAGAGGAAAGCAATACCTTTGAAATGAAGACCCTGTCCAAAGCCATCCAGCTGATTAAGTTCAAGGCCCAATTCTCAAACCCTCTGTCACAGGTGACAGGGATGACCCCACGTCATGCTCAGGTGGCCTAGAAGGCCACTGCTGGCGGTGCTGGCTGATCAGCCACACTGTGGTTCCATGTTCAGACCCGGTGATGCTTGGGAGACCTCCAGGCTGCACCTATGAGTGCTCAGAATCAAAGCCAGGACATGTGTTGGGGTGGACAAAGGGAAGGGACACATACACCTCTGCATCCTGAAGCCGTGGGGTCAGGGAGAATCACCCAGTACCAGAGAAAAGGAGTAGCTGACTGGGACAGACAAGTCTCCCAGAAGCAGGGAATGCCACCGTGGCACCACCAACACCTCCATCTATGTAAAAAGCAGGGGGCCTGGGCCTGGCGCCCAGAACTGCTGGCATGGCCCGGCAGGGGCAGCACCCGAGGAGGCTCCCAGCGTGATGCAGGTCGGGGGGCAAGGAGAGTCTCTGCGGATGGCCTGGACCAGGGACTCCTCCCAGTCCTGGGGCCCCTGACCCTCCTCGCCCAGCACAGATGCTGCAGAGCCTGTCTACCACTAACCGGCACAACTGTGGGCCCAACTCACCACCAGTGCTCTTTGTCTAGGCATCGGTCTCACGGTCACCCCACTTGGTAGGCGAGGCACCCAGGGTCTACCATGGGAATCACTGTCCAATCCCACCTCCCGGTTTCCACAGGGGAACTGGGGGTCTGCAGCCTAGAAAACCCCTTTTTTTAAGACCCACCATCTGTGAAGTCTGCCTGAAGGCCAGAGGCTTTACCTATGACACACTTTTTGTTTTGTTTGTTTTGGGTCACACCCTGCGATGCTCAGGGTTCACTCTTGGCTCTACACTCAGGAATCACTCCTGGTGGGGCTCGGGGAACCACATGGGGTGCTGGAGATTCAGCCAGCTCAACAGCATGCAAGACCAGCATCCTGTAAGCTTTCCTATCCCTCAATCCCCCCAAGACAGGTTTTAAGAAAAGGGGGGAGGGTTCGAGGTCACACCCCACATGTGGAGATTAAACCAGAGAGAACTGAGAAAATCAAGAACAATTTTCCAGGCTGGGGAGAAAAGCTCACACAGCCAGTCCCAAATTACCTGTGACGACACAGGAGAACTTGACATCGCTGCCCTGGGACACTGCCCGGGATCTCAGTGTGGTCTGGAACACGGGCTGCGTCTCCTCAGTCAGCTGCGCGATGATGGAGCAGAAGGTGCTCCTGGGAAGAGGCAGAGATGCATTCAGGGTGGCTTCTCGGAGCTCCAGGCGCGGCAGGGGCCCTAAACTGGGTCTCACTATGCCCTCCACCGTGATGGAGACGCCAGCACTACAGAGCTGAGGGAAACCCACCCCAGGACTCAGGGACCCCTCCTGAAGTGCCCGTGTATGTAAGTAGGCACTGTAGGAGGAAAACGAGGCATCCGCTGCCAGGTCCCCTTTCCTGGCGGACAAGGGTTTCTGAGAGGCTCAGATGAGCGCTGGCTGGAATCTCCTCATGCCCCCCACCGCGCCCCATTTCCACCCACCCTTCCCCCCACCATCACCGGGCACCACATGCTCAAATGCTAACCCCGCCGTGGCTGGCAGCCTGGGCCACACTGCAAACCTCCCAGACCACAAATAGATCCTCCCCGCGGCCACTGCTGGGACGCGGCGTTCCCTCGTGCTGCCCAGACTCCAGGGGCACCCCAGCCGGGGGGCAGGAGGGCAGCAAACCCCATGCCAAACCCTCCCGCCGGCCAGCAGAGACAATGCGGCCTCAGGCGTGAAGCGCGGCCTCAGGGCCAGGTGACAGACCAGACGGACGTGGTGTGCAAGCCGTGCCCAGCCCCCGCCCCCCACGTGAGCAGCACCCCCACGGCAAGGACCTGGGGGGTGGGGACAAGCACGGGACATGAGCGGAAGGCAAGGCCTCCGAGGTTGTCCTTCTCTGTGCCTCAGAGTCAGGGGCCAGGTCGTGCCTGCCTGCTCTGACCGCTGCCTCTGGCTGAGTCCGTTCCAGGCTCTCATTTCTTTCTTTGGCTTTTGTTTTTTTGTTTGGGGGCTACACCCGGCAATTTTTAGGGATCACTCCTGGCTCAGGAATCGCTTCTGGAAGTTCTAGGGAGATCCTATGGGATGCCAGGGATCGAACCCACATCGGCTGCATGCAAGGCAAATGCCTTATCCACTGTATTGTGGCTCTGCCCAATAGGAACTCACTTCTTTTTTTTTTCTTTTTGGGTCACACCTGGCATTGCACAGGGGTTACTCCTAGCTCATGCAATAAGGAATTACTCCTGGTGGTGCTCAGGGGACCATATGGGATGCTGGGAATCGAGCCCGGGTCAGTCGGGTGCAAGGTAAACGCCCTACTCGCTGTACTATCACTCTAGCCCCCAGGAACTCATTTCTGAGGCCACCACTCTACCTGAGATGAAAGGGACTGCTCCGGGAGAGGTCTGGAATGGAGAAGGGAATGCAGGTGCCTGGGCCCTGGGGGTGCTGACGGCCTAAAGAGGGAACCCCAACTCCTCACACACTTACACACCTGCCTTGGCTCTGAGTTAGGCTTCCTGAGCCCTTCCCGCTCACTCTCGAACTCCCTAGGCCCTTAAGGAGAGTAGCCAGTGCTCCCCAAGCACTGTCCTTGGCAGCTGGCTGGTGCCGACTTGCGGGGAAACAAACCCTGACCCACAGGTGCCAGAAGAATTTAGACTCTGATTTTTGCCCCCAATTCAGCACGGCTCTGAGACTGTCCCCCTGGGGAGAGTGAGCGAGCCTGGAACCAGCAGCTTCGAGAAGGGGGCAGCCTAGTTTCTCAGGCTTTCCCTCCTTGACTCATGTGAAGGGGAAGCAAAGCTGGCTGGACTCTGCCCCTGGGCTAAGCTGCCTCGTGGGGCCGCTGGGAAACCTCAGCAGGGAGCAGGACCCTGAGGAAGGGCTACTACTTGGGCAGTCGGGGGCTCATGAGACCCTCCCTGACTACACACCCCAGGGGGAGTCCAGCCTCAGCTTGTGGCCCTCCAGGAGCTCCAAGGGGGCCAGCCCTGCCCTTCAAGGGGTCATTTCCCTTGTCTCCTGCCACCTTCCAGCTACTCCTAAAATAGTTTGGATCCTCATTCCTGATCCCCAAGACCGTGAGACCTCCAGAAACCTTCAGAGCTGCATCCAGAGGTGGTCAGTGCTCTCCAGGGAATCTTGGGGGCCCAGAAGACCAGCTCCCTACACCCCCATCCAGGTCAGGGGAGGGGGGTCTACATGGTGGCCAGTGGCCTCGGGAGTCTGACTCTGGTGATCCCCTTCAACTCATCCTGGAGCGGGCTGGACCTCAGAGCCCAGACTGCAGAGGGTGGACATGGGGAAAGGAAGTGAGCTGGCACATTGGAAAGACAGTGCCCAAGGTGGAACGGGAGCAGGAAGGGGCGTGGCTACAAGATTCTGGAGCCAGGGCAGGGGCATAGTGGACACAGAGGGACAGAGCGGGCTCTGTGGACCCCTTGCCTGTTCCGGGGTCCCTGTGCCCCTCCCCAATGCCCATGCAGCATCCAAGGTGGGTGAGCCCCATGCCCACATCGCCGCCCTCCCCCCCCCCAGCCCCCAGCCCTCCCTCCACCCATGCAGCCTGGTTAGTGCCAGAGGCCCAAGAAGTGCAGCCCGAGACACGCAACGCCGTTACCTTCCGGGGCCCGGGTGGGACGGCCGGCTGCTTGGTAAGCTAAGCGAAAACAGCAAATGGAACCATTAGGCAGGAAAAGCCACGGGGAGGTGGGAGAGGCGAGCTCCACGCGGCCACCCAGCAGCCTTTCTATTAAAGGGACCAGCTGTCTCGGTCTCGGGGCGGCCACCAGCGTATCTGAAACCAAGGGCTCGTTAAGGGCAGCAGACCAGGAGTTAGGTACCAAGCAGGCCCCCAGGGCTGTATGAAGGGGGAGCCCAGTCCCCCCCACCATACGCACACACCAATGAGGAGCCACGCCCCCCACCCCAGAGCCCCCAGCCCCGGGCCGCTCCTGGCCTTTGGGGGAAGAAGCATCTGCATTCTTGGAAGCCCTCCAAGAGGCCAGGGAAGAATCAGGGATGCTAGCAGAGGACGCATTAATGTGCTCAAGTCCGCTCAGAGAGGCTGGAGGAGTGGGTGGAGGAGAAGGCAGGGCATGGGGAGCCCTGCTCAGGGGCCCAGTGCGAGGCCACGGCAGGCAGCAGGGCAAGGACCCCCCAAGGGCTGCCCTTCCTGATTCTTGACTACCCGGCCCACTGGGTGAGAATCCCAGTCTGACTGCCCAAACCTTCCTGGGCCACCTCTGTCACGGTCCCTGAGAGGCTGTGCCCACACTCCCTGCTGCATCCGTGGACCTCGTGCAGGCTGTTTGTAACCAAAACTGACCCCCTGAAGCAAAGCCCCCAGCACAGCCCCAGTCCCAGGGGGCTCCCACACGGGGGTGCCCGGCCTTCCATGCCCACGCTCCACCAAGTACTGCCCCGGAGCAGGGCGCAGGGCTCAGACAGCCTCCCTTCTCCTCAGCTCCTGTAACTCCCAGACTTGGGCCCAGTGATGGGTGGGAGAGGGAGTGAAGGGGGGAGGAGGGAGGGGAGAGCCTCTTCCAAACCTTCCCAACAGAAAGGGTCCTCAGACCCTGGCAGGCCTGCTGCAGCCAGCCACACCCTTCCCTGCTGGAGCTTGCTGGCCTTCCTCGCCATGGCTGGGGAGAAGGGGTGGGGGGGGGGGGAGAGAGGAGATAGGCAGCTTCTGACTGAACCCCCCATCCTGCAGGCAGCAGGTTAGGTCCACCGGGGCCCAGGCTGATGGCTCTTGCTGATGGTCCAGTGCTGGGCTCGGGGATCCCAAGGCTGGCCTGGAGGGTTAGAATCAGGCATGTAGTAGGCCTTCTGTCTAGTTAAGGGCACCTTCATTACACAGAAGGGGGTGGAGGGTCCTGAGAAGGGACAGACAGAGTCTGATGCCCCAGAGGGTCTCGTCAATTCCAAGATCAACTCTTCTGCTGTCCTATAGCTCTGGCCCCTGATGCTGTTTTTACGAAAGCCTCAGACAGCCTGCCTGTCCCACACTCATTCTGCACCTTCCGAGTCCACTGAGACCAGGGCCCTTGAGAAATGGGGTGCGGGGCGGGGCAGCTCCTGGACCTCCTGCGAGTCCCCCAGAAGCTGCATCCAGCTGACTGGCTTTTCAAGCCTCCGGCTTACCCTACCCACTTCCCTCCCCACAAGGGCGAAGTCCTGGGGACCCGGTGACCCCCGAGAACGCATGCAGGTTGTGAGACCTCCTGGAGCTGGTCCTGGGCCAGGAGCCCCTCCACGACAAGGGGCAAGAAGAGGGATGCATGGGGAGACGGTGGCCAGAGCCCCATCAGGTAGCCCATGCTCCACCTGGACCGAGTCCCAAGAAATGTTGGGGGGCTTCTGAGAGAGGCGGGGCTCCTCTGGGCTGGGTTAACAGGGACAGTCCTCAAGGCTCCTCCCCCCATCCCCCTGCCCCGACAGAGGCTCCCCCTGTACTTCTTCCTCCAGCCCCCCTCACGCTGTCCCCTCTGGACACAAACATCTATCTGCTAGGTGTGGCTCTGTCCTGTGGGGTCAGCAGCCAGCTGGCCAGCCCAAGTCAGCCCTGAGCAGGGCAAGAGCAGCTGCAGGTATGGGCCCAACCCTGTCCCTCAGAGGAGGAGCCCGAGTTTGGGCTCGGGGAGAGCCACGGTTCCCATTCTGGCACGATCACCTGCACCCCTCAATGGCCATCCTGCAGTGCCTCCACTGCCCTGCTCTGCTGGTCTCTGCAGGGGTGGGGTGGTGGCCTGGCAGGCAGCCAGTCCCTCCAAGGCCAAGTCTGAGTGCCCATATTTTCCTTTCATCTTTTCTGGGGAGCCTGGGGGGCTCAGGGAGAGGCCTGAGTGCCGGACAGCAGGCCTGTAGCCTCGGACTCAGGCTGATTCCAGCCCTCGGCTCGGGCCCCAGACATGTGACACCATCAGAGTTTTCTGCAGAAAGCAGTTCCGGTTACACATGAACTTTCCCGGCTCCAAGGTCAACAGAGCCAGCCCATCGGTGAGGAGGGGCCAGTAGGGCCTCTCCTGCGTGTCCTCAGACAGGGCTTCTCTAGACGCTTCCCAGCGGGCAGCTGCTGTGCGCCTCTGCAGCAAGCGGCCCTCCTCTGCGCTGGGACCACACCCCGGGGCCTGCCCCAGCCCAGGCCTCTGGACACAGGCTCCAGAGTGGGGAGGCAAGGCCAGTGCCCAAAGAGAGCGGGCAGTGCTGTCTCCATGGCAATGTCCGTGTGCCCAGACGCTGTTCCTCCATCCTCGTGTCCTGGGGCAGCTGCACCTCCTGACGCTGGGTCCAGGAGGGAGAGCATCACCTGTGAGGCCCTCCCTGGACATCCCTGTCCCACACTGGCAGGCCAGCCAGTGGGCTGTGTCCGAGGGACAGCTGAGGCTCTTCAGAGGCTAACAATCCCTCACCAGCCCTCGCAGAGCCTGAGCAGCTGAGGTCCTGGCCCACAGGAAGGCCCCAACACACATCGACTCCCCCTGCCCAGTCGAGCACCCCCTCAGTGCAGCCCCCCAGCCCCGCCCCGGCCCCCCCCCCTGGCCTATCTTGGAGGGTTGGTGCTCCCGGACTGAGCTGGGAGGAATTTCAGCTCCTCGTGGCCTCCTTATCACTGACTGTGGAATCTGGGCCAGGCAGCAGGCGGGGAGCAGAGCTTAGGGGAGGCTGAGATGGGGAGGGGGCGCCAGGGGAAGTCAGGAAAAAGACTTGGCCCACTTTGAAACCAGAGCACCCCAAGATCAGACCCTGCTCCCCTTTCCTGAGCCCCACACAGCCTGAGGCCTGATGCCAAGGCCATAAGGGTCAAAGGAAGGGACTTCAGTGAGGGCTAAACTGGCCTGATCGTATCCCCAGGACCCCTGCCCCACCCCCCACCCAGGCAGCCCAGTAGGGCTGTGGACACCCCCAATTCTGCCCCCAGATCTCCAGCTTCCAGTGTGCCCTCTCCCCCAACTAGATCTCCAGGGCCCTCTGCCCCCTCTCAGCAACACCCGCCCCAGCCCAGCTCCACACCCCCAGCCTGCCGGTCCCCTAGGGGTGCCCTCACCTGGCCTCCGGTCGCACGCTAAGCAGGTAACTCCGGCTGGCCGGCCCTGGCGTCCACACTGGCCCTTCATCCTCGCTGTCACCCCCGGCCCCGGAGCGCAAGCCTGCACCCCAGCCATGGCCCAGGCCTCTCCGAGACCCCATGTTGCAGCCGCCCTGCTGCCGGGCAGCCGCCAGGCCCCTATTTATAGCCCGGGAATGCGTCACCTGCTGCTGTCCCTCCCCGGCCCGCCCCCACTGCACCCCATAGGGGCCACCTTCCTGGCTGGCTGGCACCCCCCACCCCCACCCCGCTGGGCCCCCGGGGTCAGGCGACAGGCGACCCCTCCCAGCTGCCCAGCCCACTTGCCTCCTCCCTGAGCTGGAGGCTTTCTGGAATTGGTGGGGGGCAGGGGCTGGAGAGATAGCACAATGGGTAGGCGCTAGCCTTGCATGCTGTTGGCCTGGGTCCGGTCCCCAACACCCCACAGGGTCCCCCAAGCCCCACCAGGAGCGATCCGTTAGCTCAGAACCAGGAGTCAGCCCTGAGCACCACTGGATGTGGCCCCCCAAAAACAAGCAAAAAAAAAGTAGCCAAGGAACTGCTTGGATCCCTCTGGGTGACCTCGGTCCCGAGTCCTGAGCTCCCCTGGTCATGAGCCTGAGGGTGTGAGCACTTTACAAGTCCTCCTCCTTTGGGTCCCCCTTTCCCTTCCGGGGGTGCCTCCAAGCCCTGCCTGACCAGCTTCTAAATCTGAGCAGTGACCTCAGTGTGGTGGCCGTCCCCCAGCCGGGCGGCTGAACCCAGGCAGTACGGGGCAGCCACTCCCAAGCCAAGCCCCGTGATGCCCGTGGCATTGGCCTGGGCCTCAGTTACCTGTGGAGAATCAAGCCCGGCTGTTCCGGCTCCCCACAGCCCTGGGCACTACTGCGCTGGGCAGGCACGCTAAGGAGAAAGAGACGCAGACGCCGATGTGCTGGTGGCTCTCGGGCAACTCGTGGCAGCTGTGTCCCCAGCCTTCCTCACAGCTGACCGCTGAGCCAGTTCTTGAGCACTGAGTGCCTGAAAAGCACTCAGTGCTTTTGCTCAGGCACTTCATAAATTTCTGTTGGCAGGGCCCAGAGAGACAGCGTAGTGGGTAGGGCACTAGCCTGCACACAGCCCTCCAGGTTTGAGCCCAGCATCCTATATAATATGGTCCCCAAAGCCCCACCAGGAGCAACCCCTGAGCACAGAACCAGGAGTAAGCCCTGGAAACCTCCAGCTCAAAGGCCAAGAAAAAAAAATTTAAAGACTGTTTGAGTCCAGCACTGATCCCTCCTTATAGTGTTTTTTCACCCTAAATGCAAAAATGTACCTATTTTTAATTTGGGGGGGTGTCATCTCCGGCAATGCTCAGGGATTACTCCTGGCTCTGTGCTCAAGGATTACTCCTGACGGTGCTCAGGGACCCTGTGGGATGCTGAGATTGAACCTAGGTTGGCTGCGAGAAAGGCAAGCGCTCTCCCCACTGTACTAGCACTCCTGCCCCTGTTCTGAAGTCTTAGAAGAATTCTTCCTCGCCCTCTTGGTCCCATGCTTCCTTTCCCTCTTATGGAAACATTTCTGTTGTTTTGGTTTATTGGGGGTAGGGGGAAGCATACCTAGCGGTGCTTCAGGGTCTCTGGGTGCTGCAAGTGCTCCAGCCCTTGGCCCTATCTCCCAGCCGCTGGACTTCTGGATGGATTCTGCCCTTTGTTCATGGCGGAGTTATTCTTCCTTGCTCTCTGTCCCAGTCAAGGGATGTGCTTTCTTCTGTGAGTTCCTGACCCCGCTAAGAGGGATGCTTAGTGTCTGACAAGTGCCAGGCTGGGAGTCTAGAGACAATTTCACATCCCGTTCTTCCCTCGGCCAGGTGTGACCTTGGGCAAGTGCCCCACCAGCTTCAATGGCATAATCGAGGTGAGAACTATTTGCTCAGCAACTCCTCACGGCCAGTTTCATTTCTCTTTATTTTCCTTCTGGTTTGAGGTGGTGCTCAAGGGTCCCTAGAGGAGGGCTCGGGAACCCGGCCCCTTCCTGTCCTGCTGTTGGGACGCCGGAGCTGTACTCCCACTGGTGGTGCTCACACGTGTGCCCACCGGGGGCACACTCACTTTAGTTGTGACTCAGAGCATGGGGTGGCCATGCTGAGGACCGGCCCTCAGGGCTCTGTTTCCTGCAGGGCTCCCCCGCCCCCCCCAAGAATATTGAGTGTTTATTACTCCCTGCCAGTCACAGGCCAGGGTTTGGGGGCACAGAAGGAAGGGTCTCCCGGGCCCTCAGGGTTCTCTGGAATCTGAAAGGTAGAAAATTCAAGCAAATAACCTGAGTACTCAGAGTGTAGCCCTGGCGCCAGGGCGCTGCCCAATCCCGGTGGTCAGGGTCAGGCTCCCTACGAAGTCTTGCTGGTGAGGAGCCTCCACCCGAACACACGCACACCATGCTCCATTGGGTCTTGAGGCCATCACAGGGTGACCGCTGCTTTCTGAAGCACCTATTAGAGGCCAGCCTGCACCAGGGCTCCCTCCCCCCGGACCCGCCAGAGAAGCAGAACCTTTCATGGGGGTTCAGTTCCAGCTCTTCTTCTTCCAGAGCCCACAGAATTCCCAGGGTACCAACAGCCACTGTTCTCTGAAGCACCAACTAGGGTCACACACGACGCAGTGTGAGCCTTTGGGCAGGGTTCGGATTTCTCACTGACTTCCTGCAAAACCTCCTGAGTCTGGGCCAGGCAGATAGCCTCCCCGGCCAGCAGCACCCCTGACCTCACTCTCTCAAAGACCGCTGTTTTCTGTCTAGGGGGCATACCAGGCAATGCTCAGGGACCACTCCTGGCAGTGCTCGAGGGACCCTATGGGGTGCCAGTAATCACACCTGGATCAGCCACAAGCAGGTCAAGTGCCATAGCCACTGTGGCAACTGCTTGGAGGGAAACCTGGCTGCAAAGGAAGAGAGGTGTCCAGTTCCCTCCCTGCCCATTCAGCTTCCCTCCCACAGCTGGACAGCTCCCAAGCTCATCTCCCCAAGCTCCCCCAGGCCCATGGAGTGGCTCAGTCTCAGGGCAAGGTGGGGACTCTGACTTCTGCTCCAGCTCTGGTCACTGGCCCTTGGTCCTGACAGGAAGCCAGCACTGCTCCTCACCTGTTCCGGAGAGCCATCGTCACTTAGAAGAGGATGGGCTCCCTGGTGCTCTGGGGAGGTGGACAACGGGAGCCGATGGATGGGGAGAACCCCCGAGAACTCAGGCCTCACCGAAGCTGAGGAGTCTGAGTGTGAGGGGAGACCAGGGATGACATGAAGACACCAGGCACCTTGAGAGCTGAGGGCTTAGGCCAGGGGGACGGCTCCAGGGGATGAGTGAGAACCCCAAGGTCCATCTTCTGAGACTGCTGAGATGTGCCCCCAAAAGAACACAGAAGAACCACAAAAACCCCACGCTGGCATCCTTGTCACAGGAACTTGCGTTTTCCTGTGCTTTGTTGGTGTGGGGGCCACCTCCAGCTGTGCTGCAGCACAGAGACCAGGAAGGGGAGGCAGCCTTCAGCCCACACCTGCAGCCCATCTCGGGACAGCCAATGCAAAGCATCGTGTGTTGGTCAGGAGCTGGAGGAGCATCCCTCACGCACCTCTTACATGTCTCCAGTTCTTGCTGGACCCATCTTCGGCCGGAGCCTCTGCTGCTGGCTCCTGCCCACAGTGTCCCCTGCACCAGGCAGCCGAGCCCCACTCTGGAGGGCATGAGCTGGCTCCTGGCCTGGTCACCCTCGGGACATGAGAGGAAGACCCAGCTGTGCTGGTGAGGTGGGAACCAATTAAAGGATTACTAGCCAGCAGACGCAGTCCTGGCTACCTCTGATTGGAAGGGGAGTTGGGGGCTCCTGTCGTGTGCCACCTGCTCCACTCGGTCTGAATAACGGAATTGCTTAACCCTGCGGTCAGGTGCGGGGAGCTGGGCCCCATTCCCCTCCACCTCCTGCTCTCCTGTTGAGTCTCAATCCCAGGAGCCTTCTCGCCTTCTCCGGCCCTCCTTGGCCACCAAAGCTCCATCATCTATTTTGTTGTTTCGGGTCACTCCCAGTGATGCTCAGGGATCTGGCAGTGCTTGGGGTGGTGGGGCGTGGGAACCCTGTAGGACGTTGGGGACTGAACCTAGGTCGGCTGTGTGCAAGTACTTCCACTCCAGCCACAGCCTCTGTCGTCACGTCCCTCCCACTCTCTCCAAGTTGTGAAAACCCCTCATCCCCACTGAGGAAGGTGACCCCTGCTTCTGAGCTAGCCGGAGCCACACACATCCCCCTGCTCCCATAACTTACCACACAGAAGTCAGCTGGAGCCTCAGGTCGTGAACCCCGTCCCCAGCCAGGCCCACACACCTGCCCCCTGAGCTGCTCCCTTCCTTGCCTCCCTCTGTGCCTCATGTCCAGGTCATACCCAAAGCTCCGCCAAGACTAGTCCAGAGTATGAATGGGAAACCTGCTTCTAGGCCAGGCAGGACCTACCTTCCTTGTCAGGGACCCAAATGTTCTGCCTGGCCTCTATAAACAAGTCCCAGAAAGCCGGTCTGTGGATGAGCAAACTCGGGGGCAACAGGAATTGTGTGCCTGGTGGTGACAGAAAAGGGAGGATGAGGGGAGGTGGGGTGCACCTGTCGAACAAGCACCAGGGCTGCTTCATGTCAAGGGTATAAGCAACTGGCGCCGTTGTCAGAGAAAATAAAGGCTATGGGATCCCGACTGAGTCACATCTAGGAGGGTCAATAATACCTGGACGTCTCCCCCAGCCACTCATGAGATCAGGAAACATGGCTGAGCCACTCTCCCCTGAGAACTAAGATGGGTTCCCTGTCGAACTAACTGAAATAGTTTCACCTGATCCCTCTGCCTTTTTCCCTCCCCACCATTTCACATTTGCTGATTGTTTAGTACTCATGCACTGAGGGCTCAATTTCAATCTGCAAACAACAAAACCCATACAGTTACTCCTGGCTCTGTGTTCAGAGGTCATTCCTGGCTGGGCTCGAGAACCCAATGAGGTGCTGGGATCAAACCCAGATAGGCTGTGTGCAAGTGCCCTCCCTGCCTACCATCTCTCCAGCCCACATAGACGGCATTGTAAAAGGTCAGTTCTGAGTACTGGCTCCTTCACAGGATGCTGCCAGGTACCAGAAGGACGTGACCCCACTTGGGAATAACCAAGGAAACCACTGAACTAGGAAGGGTGTCACAAAAGGGTGGCAGTAGGAGTCAAAGAAAAGCCAGGATTCTGTGAAAAAGCAAAACTCCATTGCAAATATAAGTGCAGAGTGCTGTCGCTTGGGAGGGGGAGCTGACAGGAACCCTTCACCACTTCCGTATCTATCTAAGCCAACATCAAGAAGTCCAACAATTTGCGCAGACCTGGAGAGAGCGCTCCACACCTGAGGAGGCCTGGGGTAAGCTCCTGCACCACGTTCTGTCACCACCAGGAGTGAGCTGGAACACAGCCATGTGTGGCCCAAACCCTGCACCCCTCCCCCCGAAACACACACACACAGACAAAAAAACAAATAACAGGGAATGTATAGGGAAAATGAGGTTGATGCGAAAATGATCACAGTGACTGAAAACAGTAATGAAAGGCTACACAGGTACTTACCCTCCATACAGCCAGCCCCAGATTGGCTGTAAATGTCCTCTGAAAACCACTTCTGGGAGTGGCCATGGGCACCAATCTCACGAGCACCAAGGTCTGAAGGCAAATGACTCAACCGCTTTGAACCTCCAAAAGCCTGACTGTGGTAGCACACTCGGGACTGTGAGGAGGCGAAGTCAGGAATGAGGGTGAGGAGCCCGAGAGAGCACAGCAGGGAAGAGCGTCTGCCTTGCACACTTCTGACAAGGGTTCAATCCCCGGCACCTCAGAGGGTCCCCCGAGCCCACCAAGAGTGACCCCTGAGTGCAGAGCCAGGAGTCAGCCCTGACCATTGCTGCTATTCCCCCAAAAACAAAGACAAAAAGGAAAAGGAAAGAAATGTGTGCAAATAAAAAATGTTTGATGGGAGTCATGGGTTATCATCTCAATCGTGCTGCAAACATTCTCCAGGAAGACTAAAAAGAGACAAGGAAAAGTGAACATAGCTGCAAAGGTAGATAAGGACTACAAAGAAGGTGTTTTAAATTTTTATATTAGTGTTATCATCTTCCAGTCAGAAAAATAGGCAGCTTCAATCAGGACCTCTCAAAGGATCTCCCAATCTTGGGGTCTGAGCCTGATGCTCTCTCCTCCAAAGAGGCCCAAGGGTCTTTATACCCAAGTCCCCAAAACTACTCTGGCATCTGCTGGTGGCAATGATGATCCAGGGCCTGGCCTAGAGCCTTTGAAAAAGCCAGGAGCAAGTTCTAGAATCTAGGTCATCTTCACAGATGGGATACTGAGAGAGTCCCGTCGAATCAGAGTCCTTCAAATACGGATGCATGCAGGCACTCACTCACTCATCCACTCTCGACTCTGCGAGGAGCTCCCCAAAATTAAGACTGCCCCACAGGGTGAATCTGGAATAATCTTCATTAGGTTAAAAAATAAAACAAAACAAAACACACACATAACCTGAGCTTCAGAATACTGTGTATAGAATGCTACCATTTGTATTAAAAATAGATATATAAATATACATATTTATAAACTTATAAATGCATAGAATTGCTCGTAAAGGGTACACAAGATAACAGTGAGTCGCGCGAGGGGGACAGGGCTCGGAGGGCTGACTGCCGGCGGGAAGCTCGCTTTCCACTCTGTAAAGTCTCAACATCTTATCATGTATACGCAGTTTTTTTTAAATCTTTTTTAATAAGTAAAAGCAAGCGTGCCCGGTGCTGACTGTACAGTGAATACAGCGAGCAGGGGGTGACGGTCGGGGGCTCGATTTTGGGGGGAGGCAACATGTGTTGGTCTGGTGGGAAACAGCTGGGACGTGCTCACAGGCCAGACTGTTGACATGCGTTAAGGGAACGGTTCTCTCTACACCAGTTAGCTCCCAGCAAGGCCGCAGATCATTTTACAGATAAAGCGGTCAGGGAAATGAAGACCATCCGCCAGGACTGACAGGGCTGTAGCCGTCGAGAGGGTGAGGCCTTATCTGTGGAACTGGATCAGCGCAGCAGCCGCCAGGGGTGCAGCTCAGCGCTCATTGAAGCAATTGTTCTCTCCTGACAACAAGACCACAAAACCATCCAAGGACGTGCTCCCCTCGACAGCTGGACAGCTGCACCTGGGACAGGCCCCAGCGATGACAGGTGAGTCCCCGTGAGAGTGAAAAGGGCAGAAGACACAGTGTGTGCACCTGGTCTTCTCTGGGTGACAAGGCACAGATGGACTCAGAAGAGGACCTGACAGTCGGGGGTACCCAAGTCACAGGGGAGGGAAGAGACGGCCACTGACATCACACTCCGGAGAGGCAGGTGGGCCAGGCCTCGGGCAGCCACTGAGGACCAAGGAACCGCTGGGAATGTCAGCAAGAGGCCGCAGGCTGGGAGAGAGTGGGCAGTGCGCGCCTTCTTGCTCCCACTCAGTGGCCGCAGGGAGCCCTGGTCACTCAAGGCTGGCAACCCGCATCTGCAGCTGGGACCCGGACAGGGTGATCGTATTCCAGCACCTCATGGCCTGGGGCAGGTCACCCCACGCTGCTGCTTGCCTCTCCTGGCTGAGGATACCCAGACATTCTTACCACTCCACCCCATTCCAGGAAGGAGACGGATCTGGGGTCAGGAGCGTGGGCGACCAAGAGCCCTCCATCCCCTTCCTCCAGAGGTTGTGTCCACACAACCTTGTGGTACATGCCTTCCAGCCCCCTAGACTCTGCCTCTGACATGGGCTGGCGAGGCACAGGCCCTATACCAAAGGCCCCCAGAAACCAAGGCAAGCATTAGCATGTCCGTGAAGGACCTGGCATTTGCTAGAGGAAGCAAACAGATTTCTTTTTTCAATTGTGGAAAGGTCAGGCATATTTATCTGCCTTAATAATTTATCACTGATATTCAATGCCTCCTTTGAAAGGTCACCCTAAGGCCTCGGCCAGCACCCCCTTGCTATGTCAGGCCCCATTCCCATCCTGCCTGGGCGGGCAGGCTGCTTGGGTTAGAGGTCGCGGCCTAACCACACAGCTGGCTCCCCCCAACTCTCCCATTAGCGAAAAGCCAGTCTAGCCTGCCCCTGCTTGTCCCAGTCTTGCCACATCAGAACTGGCAGCCATGGTGACACCAGGGTCTCTTGAACTCTTCACGAACACCATAGGGTTCCTCCTGCCAGCCCTCCCTCACTGGAAACATGTTCCAGATGGTGAGCTACGTGGAGGAGACAGAGATACCAGAGAGTCCCAAGCGGCCCTCCTGTCCGTGTCACCAGACCCCTCCCCCTCAGACATCTCCAGAGGCTCTTGAGCGCAGAGGGAAGCAGCTCAGGGACGGGGCAGTGAGGGGCACCAGGCTCCTTGGGCAGGCCCCGGCTCAGCTGGAGAGGAATACAGGAGCCTCCCTGCATGGTAGGAAGATGTTTTTATTTGAAATACGGTCTGAGCAACAGGAGTGGCCGGGGTGGCAGCCTGAGAGCCCAGGACCAGGGCACAGACACCCCATCTGAGCAGGAGCAGGCGGAGCAAGATTGCAGCTCCAGGGAGGGCCTGCCCGCGGCCGCCTCACTGCCCCCCAGCGCCACCCCCACACCTGGGAGCTGTCAGGACGATTCTCTTTGGGGAGAAAGAATCAGAGCCAACAGGAGCACCCTCACCCCCTTCCCAGCTCCAAGGGAGCAACAGAGGCCAGCGGCGGGCCATAAGCACTCTAGGAGGCCCTGGCAGGAGGCTACAGCAGCACCCTAGAGAGGGGCACGGCCACTGGGGCTCCCAACCGCGGCAACAGCACTGGGGCGAGACCACTTACGCCAGGGCAGCCGGGGCATGGAGGGGCACAGACCAGACTCGGGGTACCAAGAAGCAGCACAAAGCCATAAATAACAGAAGCAAGTCCAGGACGGCGAGGGTCCTCAGGTGACCCCACCCCACGCCTGCTCCAGGCCACTCTCACACAGGGGCAGGACCTCAACCTCCCACTGGACACGTGACCAGGGTGCGCCTCAGCACAGGCCCGACAGCCTCGGTCACACCTGAGGGGATGGAGCACCGCTGTCCTGGTCCTGAGGGGCCTGTGGTTGGCTCTGAGCGGCCGGAGCACCGTCCTCCTGGGAACCTGGGCCCACGGAGCGCCTGGCCTCGGAGCCGCCCGCCAAGGGCTCAGCAGCACATCCTTCCAGTCCATTCTCCCTGGGGTCCACAGCCACCTCCTCTGCAGAGCCCGCCTCCGGCTCCTCCTCCTCCTCCTGATCTCTCACCTTGTGGACGATGAAGAGGTGGCGGCTGAGGGAGCTGGCAGAGGTGTAGCACAGGGCGCAGAAGGGGCACTGGGACGTGGAGCTGTCTGTCTGGTGCTGAGGTATGTGGCGCTGGAACTCAAGCCCTGAGTCTGTGGCAAAGCTACATTTCGCACACTGGAAAAGGGACTTGGGCCTTTTGGTGGAAGAGACCGTCAGGCCATTGCTGGTGCCTGGGGCACCCCCCACCCCGCTGACGGGTCTTTTCCGATGGTTCACCTGCAGAGGGAGACAGGGAGAACCCCGGAGGGAGCCGCAGTCAGGCAGAGCCGCTCAGGCACTCGGACTCGCTGCCCAGGCCAGGGGCCCTGGCCGTCGGCGGGGATTCTGGGCTGCTGGCTGCTTTCTCGTCTCAGAGATGCGGGGAAGAGTCTGAAGTAAGTCAGGCACCCTTCTCCCCCTTATCTGTGGGGGCTCTTCAAGGGGTCCATCCGCATACCAATCCCCCGAAGTGGCATCTGACAGGAGGCTCAGAGTGTGGGCGCAACACAGGCCCCCGTGGAGGCACTCTAGCATCCACTGTGGCCTGGGCAGTATTGCAGCGAGCACCCTCAACCTGCATCTCTCCCTCCACCTAACAGGAGCCTGACAGGGGACACCCAGGTCCAAGGGCTTGCACGCCAGAGGAGGGACAAGGGCATGTCACTGAGTGGGACTATCACAATGGCGCCCACCTGCTGGGTGTACCGGGCAGGGGGAGGGCTTTGCCAACCAGGGCCCTGTTAGGTGCCAAGGAGGAGCACCCCAGTGTCGGGCAGAGGGATGGCTCAAAGGGTCGTGGGAGGCTGTGGTGTGGCCGCTCCCAGGTCCCTTCCGTCTTCCTTCCGCCCCAGCTCCAGTCCCCCCGCCCCACCAACATACCTGAGGGGGCTGTCCACCGGGGGCTCTGGCTTTGGACGACTGGCTCAAGTCAGGGTTCCTGATCCCGTGCATAAGGCTGATGTGGCTCTCTAAGAGCGAGAGCCGAGGGAAGCTGGGGCTGTCCTCGGTGCAATACCTGCGTCGGAGGGGAAGGATGGTAGGGCACTCTGGGGCTCCGGTGGGGTGGCACCTGGGGGTGTGCCTGCCCGCTCTGCAGGCTCAGAGGGCTGTGGGGGCCTCTGGGCCAGCCCCCACCCTGCCCCCGCGGCCAGCCGCTGCGGGACTCACCCGCACACATACTCCTCCTTCACGGTGTCGTGGTTGTTGCGGATGTGTTTGCGCAGGCTGTTGGGGGTGTGGAAGGACTGCTCGCACTGCCGGCAGGGGTAGCGCCTCAGCGTCTGCAGAGGTCAGAGCCGGGGGTGTGACCAGAACAGGCTGGCTCTGGCCCCATCAACCTCACAACTGGCACTTCCCGGCCTTACCCGTCCGTGGCTCTTCTTCATGTGGGACACATAACTCTCCCGGTCAGGGACCCATTCCTGGCACTCCGGGCAGGTCCAGCCCGTGGACCGCAGCCGGGGCCTGGCTTCGGCCCTGCGATGGGCTTCGGGCCGGCCCCAGCGGCTGGAGGGCAGGGAGCTCCCTCGGGAAGCCACGCTGGGGGCCGGAGGCTCGGCAGGATCCCGAGAACCAGGGCGGCTGGAGGACGGGTCTGACGAAGCCTGGAGGTTTGACAGCTCGTCCACATTCCGAGGAACCCCGTGGACACTCTGGGAAGAGAGGGGCAGCATGAGAGCCCCGGCCTGAGCCCCTCCCCAGCCCCTCTCTGGCCCCCATCTCGGCCACCCACCTTGACGTGCAACATGAGCTCCGGCTTCTGCAGGAACAGGAGGGGGCACTCGGGGCACTTGAAGACGCCCACCTGCGCCGTGCTGGCATTCTGGTAGAAATGCTGCTGCATGTGCCTCTTCTTGTTGAAGACCATTTCACAGGAGCACTTGTAGATGAGCCTATGGGCACAAGGCAGCTGAGGGGCCCGTCAGGTCTGGGCAAGCAGAGCCCTGGGTCCAGGCCCTTCCCACGCCCCCATGGCTCCCCAGTCCTGGGCCCTCCCAGACACCCGCCTCAGGCTACTTGTCCCCCAGGACCGCGGCCCCATGCCCGCTCGCTCACTCACTGGGAAGGCTTGTGAGGCTGGCTGGGGTGCTGGGAAGAGCTGTGCTCTGCAGTGCTGCTGGCGGTCTTGAAGGCCATGGGGCAAAATGCACATTTGTGGAAAACCTGGCAGTGCCACTCCTGGATGTGGCTTTTCAGCAAGGCCAAGGTCAGGTGCACAACCCCGCAATGGATGCACCTGGGTGGCAGAGGGGAGGGTAAGGCTGTGCTGAAGGAGCACTGGAGCCAGGTCAGTGTCCCACTGCCATCCCCCACACACCGCAGAGCTGGCTGGCACCTCGCCGAGGCCCTATCACTCCCGTAGAAAAGGGGAAAACCCTGCCCCCGTCCCATGGGCTAGAGGACCCTCTGCTGTTCACTAACACCAGTGATGGGGGTGGTGGGAGGGCAATGACCCCAGGGAGACACAGCTCAGGAGACCAGAGGGGGTCTCGGGTGGTGCACAAGTGTGTGCACAATGACAGGGCGGGTCACGAGTCAAAGGTCAACGAGAAAGTGCTCCAGGGACCACCACGACATCCATGCCCATGGTTCTGTCCTCAGAGCCCCAGAGGAGAAACATCAGAACACGGTGAATGGGCGGAGACATTCCAGCCAGGAGCATCAGGATCTCCTCAAGCAGCGGAGGACAGACCAGGCAGCAGCAAGTCAGGGCCAGGGTGGGTATCTCGGAGCTGCCCGCAGGGACAACTATAAAGAGCTTTTCTTTTTCTCCCTACCAAAACCTGTTTTCTGAGCCTCCTTTGGAAACTATATATTTTACAGTGCATAAATAAACGGCATAAGAAGAGTCTTAAACTGTGTTTTTTTTTTTTTTAAATCAAGTCCATGCTGGACTCCCCCACTCCTTTCAAAATCTCTCTATAAACTTCTTTTTCTCTCCTCAGCCTCATGAGAGACGAGACCATTACTCCCAAACACTTATCTCCAGCAGGGTCCCAGTGCCTCCCCTATGGTGATCACTCCCCACTCAACCTGAGAAAAACATTTGCTCCGCTCCCTGCTAGTGCACAAACACACCTAACCCCAGACCTGGACACCATCAGGCCCCGGAGAAGGGTGCCTCATGGAAAGGACCCTGTACTGAGGACCTTTGGGTTCCAGATCCCAGACTTCCTTCATTCTGCTACGGAAGCCCATGTTTACCGCTAAGTAAAAGCTCCAGAGAACCCGCATGAATCTAGGTGTCTGGGGACAGCAGGGCTGGCGGCCATGGTTGTGAAAACTGTACAAACTTAATTAGCAATGACTGGCAGCCGTGGAACCAGACAACTCTGCAGTGCGTTCCAACGATCGTCGTCCCTGGCAGTTATACGCTTTCACAGAGCAGAGCTTCCAGAAAAACTACCTACACTTAAATTCTATTTTCTTTTCTCTCCTGCTAAAGAAAATGACGGTCAGCTTCCTGTATCAGCATTTCCAAAGCACAAGGTACAATGAGGAGAAAACAAATCCACACATTTCTATGTACTTCCAAAGTGACCAAGCACGCCTGGCATGTGGAAAGGCTCTCTGTGTGCATTGTGTGACCCCTGGCGGAACAATACAGGCTTCAAAAGCATGACTGAAACCACCTCCCAACCACAAGTTCTGCAGTGGGCAGTCACCTCGCTAAAAGTAAGAACACAAAGGAGAGAAAGAACAGGTGCCAAGTGCACCCTCAGAAGGTCAAGCAACGTTCATGGAACATAGAAAGGTGCAGGAAGCAGCCCGAGTCCACAGCAAAGGACACACAGAACCATGTGTGAGGCAGGATATTTGAGGAAAGATAAAGAACAGTTAAGGCACTGAAGTTGAGTAATAATCGCAAATAATTAAAAAAATAACAAAAGAAAAATAACAGTGATTGAAGCAGTTGAAATCTGCTTCCTCTTATCACTGGTCATTCTTCAAATGAAGAGCAGAATAGTTTATAAAATTCTTATATACATGACACCCACAATTTGCATGGAATAACAGAAAGATAGCACATGCACAGGCTGCATACATTATCTTCAAGAACAAGCAAAAGCACAAAACATTACAAAGCTCTATGGCAGAGTCAATGAAATGGAGCACAGGCACCTTTAAGAATTTAAAAAATTCTATTCTCATAGAAAAAGATATTTCCAAATAACTTATCTGATGAGTACCTGCATATAAAAGAACACACATGCAAAGAATTCCAACAACCTAATAAAATAACAACCCAATTAAAAAACTGAGTCAAGCGGGGCCGGAGAGATAGTACAGCAGGCAGGGTGTTGGCCTTGCACGCAGGGCAAGTGCCCGACCCTGTCCAATCCCCGGCACCCCGTATGGTTCCCTGAGCACCACCAGGAGTGATCTCTGAGAGTAAGCACAGCCAAGAGTAAATCCTAAGCACCACCAAATATAGTTTTAAAAATGCAGGGGAAGGGGCTGAAGTAATAGCACAGTGGGTAGGGCATTTGCCTTGCACGCGGACAACCCCAGTTCAATTCCCAGCATCCCATATGGTCCCCTGAGCTCCGCCAGGGGTAATTCCTCAGTGCAGAGCCAGGAGTAACCTCTGTGCATCACTGGGTGTGACCCAAAAAGCAAAAACAAAACAAAACAACAACAACAACAACAAAAAAAAAAACGCGGGGAGGACGGGAGGTGGGGGCAAAGGATTTGAATAGACAATTCAAATACAACTACCTAAAGGACATGGAAAGATGCTGAACAGAAGACATAAATCAAAAGCATGATATTACTACACACCCTTGGGAATGACTAAGGGCCAGAGAGAGAGTACAGTGGGTAGGGTGCTTGCCTTCCATTCAGCTGACCTGGGTTTGATCTTCAGCATCAAATCTGGTTCCCTGAGCTCCACCTGGAATGATCCCTGAGCACAGAGCCAGAAGTCAACCCTGAGCACCACTGGGTGTGGCCCCAAAAGAAAACAGAAAGGAACAGGAAGAGGAGGAAGAGGAGGAGGAGGAGGACCAGGAGGCAGAAGAGGAAGAGGAGGAAGAAGAGGAAAAGAGGAGGAGGAGGAGGAGGAAGAAGAAGAGGAAGAAGAGGAGGAAGAAGAGGATGAAGAGAGGAGGAGGAGGAGTAAGGGAGGAGGAAGAGTAAGAGGAGGAAAAAGAGGAAGAAGAAGAAGGAAAAGAAGGAAGAAGGAAGATAATAGTAACAAATGTTGGCAAGAACAAAGAGATCACAACTCTTGCATATACACTTCTAGTGGGAGCATAAAAATGCCTCCACTCCTCAGAGCTCAACAGACTGAATGCGTGATTTGCATGCAGAAGGCCAAGTCTGATCCCCAGTAATGCATGGTTTCCTGAGCACTGGGAGGTGCGACCCTCAAACAGAGACAGGAACACCCACTAGGTATGACCCAGAAACAAAACACAAAAAACAACCCACTTTGGGAAGCTGTCTGGGACCTCCTCAGAGTTAAACAGAGTTAGTGTCTGACCCAGATCATCTATTCTATAGTAAGTCACGGTCACGGTCCTCCCGTTGTTCATCGATTTGCTCGAGCGGGCCCAGTAACGTCTCCATCATGAGACTTGTTACTGTGTTTGGCATATCGAATACATCACGGGTAGCTTGTCAGGCTCTGCCGTGCGGGCGAGATACTCTCGGTAGCTTGCCGGGCTCTCCGAGAGGGGCGGAGGAATCGAACTCGGGTCGGCCATGTTGGCCGCTTGTAAGGCAAATGCCCTACCGCTGTGCTATCGCTCCAGCCCCTATAGTAAGTATACCAAAGAATTGAAAATTTGTACCAAACCATGACTTTGAGATAAATGTTCATTAGCAGCAATATGTAAGAAGGCTGAGGGAAAAAAAGCTATGCAAAGCAAACTATGCTGAGCAACTGATAAATGAGTAAATAATGTGCATCCATACGATGGAATTATCATTCTGCCATTATAGGAATGTCCCAACAATGAGGCTTTAGAACTCATACTAAGGCCACATATTATACGATTCAATTTACAGGAAAAGTCCAGAAGAGGCAAATCTGTGTGACAAAAAGGAAATTAGTAATTGGAAATTAGTAATTGCTTGGAACTGGGGGGGGGGGGGGGGGGGTAGGGGGTTAGTGAATGGAAGGAGCACAAATTGTTTCTTCTGGGGTGATGATGTTCGAAAACTGATGCAGCACTTGAATGCCCAACTCTAAAAAAACCACTGAAATAAATAAATATACATTTATTTTCATTTTTCCAGTACCGGGGATCAAACTCAGGATCTCACAGGTAAGGCTAGTATTCTATCATTCAGCTATATCCCAGATCAAAAATTAACCACTTTACAATGGGTGGAATACATAGTATATAAATTACATGTGAAGCTTGTATCAAAAAAACATTGATTTAGACCTTAAGTATACTGAATACTTGAGTGGTCTGCCTCCAGTTTATTATTACTATTCAACTTATTATTGAAAGGATCACACAATACCATGAGCAAGATAAATCTCTATACTTCTAAAAACCAAAGTGCCAAAGTGAACATCTTATCTGGCCCAATCTGCCCCAAACCCTCCCCTTCAAAGTTTTTTTTTCCCCCCAAATGTTCAATCTTTTAAAATTCCTCCTTCTTGGCTCAATGGCTCCTGGGTGAAATACAACAATCTTCACACACTTTCCTCTAAGAAACCTTTTTTGGATCATTTTTAGCCGATTATTCATTAACAAACAATACAAAATAAGTAATTTCAGTTCTGCTTTGAGGGCTGGGTTTGGGGTTTGGGAAGGAAACATCCAAAATATGGTAGTGGGAAGATGTAATGGTGATGGGATTGGTGTTCGAATATTAAATGTAATCAAATATTGTAAACAACTTTATAAAAATTTTTAAAAAAAATTTTTTTAAATTCCTCCTTCTTCAAATGCTGGTGGCACAAGGCAGTCAATGCGCTTCTACCAGGGTGAGGGCCGGCAGCACCTACCTGTAGCCCACCTTCCGGGCGTAGTGCAAACAGTTCTCCTTTACGTGGGTCTGGAAGTAGGCCGAGCGGCACAGGACTCCACACTCCGGGCAGCAGTAGGGGGACTTGTGTGCGTGCGTCCGCTGGTGGGCGCAGAAACTGCACTGGTTGGGCAGCAGCATCTGGCACACAGGGCAGGTCTGGGAAGAGCAACAGAGAGCAGTTCGCCTGGGCACTGGGAGGATGCTCTGCTCAAAAACTCCCTCCTCAGATACGGGGGCTCCCCCACGCTGGCCCTGGCCTCACTGTGGCCATATAGACACATGGGCCAGCTCTCCCCACTGCCTTCCCCCCCACCTTATCAACCCAGACAGATTTGGCCCTGCACCCCCCAAAACTGGTCCTGCTCCCTTCTTTCCCAGGAATTCAAGAGAACCAGGGTTTCCTCGGCAGAAATAGGAGCTTTTTCTTGAACTCTGAGCCCTTGCCTGCCCTGGTCCTCAAAGCCCCAGGGAAAACATAGGGGTCTTGCCAGTTTTTGACCCCGGTGTACCTGCTCTGGGGTGCCTAAATGAACAGCGTGATGGGGAACGATAAGCAGCAGACCCTTGGGGCCAGCTCAGGAGACATTCAGAGGGAAACAAGTCCTCTGGCCCCAGCCAGGATGCCAGCCCCACGGGGAGCAGCCAGAGCCGGTGCCACATGTGGAGGGGCCCTTCTTCGAGGAAAGGAGAGAACCATGCTACTTACTGAGGGGGACTCAGGTTGTGAGGGAGGGCAGGGAGAGAGCTCTGCCCTCGCCACGAGAAGGTGGCACCTCTACAGACAAACCAGTTTCTTCAAAGAATAAATTGCATAAATTGCAAGGAAAAGCCAAGAGAAAGAGAGAGGGGAACAGTGGCCAACTCCTGATTACAAGAATTTTAAGAGTTACTTTCCACAACTGCAGTGTACACAACACTTTAGGACCCCAACTCCTGATTCAAGTAAGCCATGTGTAAAAAGACAAAGCAGGGCCAGAGCAATAGGACAGCAGGGAGACCAATGGCAGTTGGTCGATCCCCAGGTTCGATCCCCAGGACCCCAATGGTTCCCTAGTCCCCGCCAGTAATGAGCCTTAAGAATCTCTAGGTGTGGCCAAAGATAAGGTAGGGTGGGGGGAGAGGAGAAACATTACAATTAGAATTCCTGGCAAGATTATTGCGTCGACAGCAACTATGAATGGAGACTTGAAGCCATTAGGAAGGATAGTCTGGGGGATCCATCTATCATGAAGGGATCTGAACATCACTACCTAAACTTGTAGATCTGGGGGCTGGAGAAACAGCACAGCGGGAAGGGCACTTGCCCTGCATGCGGCTGGCCTGAGTTCTAATCTAAGCATTCCATATGGTCCCCCGAGCATGACCAGAAGTGATAACTGAGTGCAGAGCCAGAAGTAACCCCTGAGCATGGCTGGGTGTGGCCCCCAAGCCAAATTAATCAATAAACTCAACAGTCCAGTCTGACATCATTAAAAATGAGGCACTGAGGCCAGCAAGACAGTAAGGAGCTCAGGCATTTGACCCGCATGTGGCTTCAAGCCTGGTTCAAACCCACTTTTGGTCCCCGAGCACATCTAGGGATTGCTCCTAAGCATGGCTGGTTGTGGCCCCCACACCAAAGCCTGGGTCATGGGGCCCTGTGTGCCTCCTAAAGTCAGGAAACAAGGACACGGCTTTCACCTATCCCAAACAGAACCTGAATCTGCACAGATTCAGTGCTGACCTGCAGATGAGATAAACTGCAGAAGGCCAACGCTCTGTCTGAGGAAGCCCTCAGTAGCTCCCAGAGCTGAACAAGGGAATTCTCAGGACACATTTTCAGGGTCTTCTACAAATTAATGACACAGATGAAGGTGGGATGAGTTGGGAGTGGCACTATTCCAGAAGAAGACATCAAAGACAGACACATGCAATGTCTGGTTCACATTTGAATCCTGGTTCAAGACAAGTCCAACTGTAAACAATCTTTTGTTTTTTTTTTTTACAATGGGAAAAACCTGGGGTATTAGGTATAAGGTAGTGTAAAGGGAAGACAATGTCCTTCAATAAAAGCTTGTAGGTAGTACAGCGATAGGACAGTGGGGAGGGCACTTGCCTTGCACACGGCCGATCTGGGTCCTATCTCCAGCATCCATTGGGTCCCCTGAGCATAGCAAGGAGTGATCCCTGAGCACCGCCAGGTGTGGCTCAAACCCAAAAATAAAAGGGGAACCTTATAACCATTTCGTCCACCCCTTCCCATCCCCCATTCTCTGGACACGCAAGTCCTCCCTTGGGCCAGGTTTTGATTGCAGAGTTCAATGTTCACTCTGTCCCCTGACACCTGGAGTTCCACTAATGGGCAGGTGGTGCGAGAGATTCTGACCAGAAGAAAAAATCTTGGCGGTAAGACGATCTCCAGACACAAGGGGCCACAGGTACACGTGTGCGAGACCCATCAGTCACCACAGGGCCTGCAGAGTCCTGCTATGCCCCAGGGAAGACTGGCAGTAGGAAACTCCTGGAGAGAGAATCTTCTAGAGAGAGTGTCACCGCTTCCAGACTGTACTGTAGTGTCACCAATGCTGACATACAAGCACCAATAGGCTGGGGGGGAGGAGGGTTCACTGGTGCCAGGACCAACCCCAGGGCCTCACACACATGGAGCACATGCTTAAGAGATGAGTTACGTTCCCCAGCCCTGTGCCAAAAGCTACTGTCCACAGGTGGTTTCGAACTCTCATCAGTGGTGACTCAGACAAGCACCAACACTGGCACACAAGTGCTGTCCAGGGAAGCTGAGGTCCCAGAGCTGCTGCAAGGAGTGAGTGGACCCTTTGCCCACAGCCTGCCCATAGCGATCCTGCCGCAACAGCACACAGATGGGGACAAGGCAGCACCTGACCTCCCACTGGCCCTGAGTTGGCATATGGGAGCCTACCCAGCACAGACACTGGACATCGGCAGAGCATCTGCGGAGATGCATGCCAGTCTGACAACAGGCCCCGGTGTCTCCCTGCAGGACACCCCAAGTGAGGGGACAGGGAGACTATTCACTTGTCTGTGGGCAGGCCCAAGTTCAATTCCCAGCAAGGACCCCTCACTGCTAAGCATGGCCCCTATACAAATAGCCAGAGCCAGGAGAAAGAGTACAGGGGTTAGCGTCGCGTGAGATCGACCCTGGTTCAGTTAACCCACATCATCCTTGAGCACACGGCTGGGTGGCATTGGAGGGTGGGCAGAAAGCTGCCCCCAAGCCTCACAGGTTCAGATGGGCACTGCTCAGCCACATTTCTTCTAACACTCGTGGACAGACGCTCACTGTGAGAGCGCCCCCTGTCAGGGCATCCACTTACCAGCCCCTCCGTCTCCTCCGTGGTCCTCTGGAAGTGGGCCGCCATGGCCATGTAGTCACGCATCTGCCGCTGGCACTCCAGACACTTGACCCCATGCCGGATGAGCCTCACGGGGTCCGGGTAGAGCGGCAAGGCCGGTAGTGAGGAGCTGGCACTGGCCGAAGGTAGGCTGGGCTTGGGGGAGGTGGCAGCTGGGGGCGCCGGCACAGGGGAGCTGGCGGGGGTCGCCACAAACATCTGGTCAGCGGAGATGGGCTTCACCAGCAGCTGGGAGCACTGCATGACGAGGCCCTTGCTCTTGTGATCACGGGCGTGCCGCAGCAGGCTACACTTGTTGAAGAAGAGAAGCGTCTGCGAGCAGGGCACGCACAGCACCTCGATGTGGACGCTGCGCCGGCCATAGTGCTGGTTCAGGCTCTTCTCCAAGGCGAAGGCGTCCCCGCACTCCAGGCAGCAGTGGCCACAGGCCGGCACCTGGATCCTGCTCTCAGCAGGCGGGCTGAGATTGGGTGCGTAGACGGGCACAGGGTTGGAGCTGTGCAGAACCTTGCTGAAGGCCTCCACGGCCAGCGGGGCGGCCTTCTTCACCTGGTGGACCAGGGGCACGGACATCTGCGTGGGCTGCGGTTGCCCGCGCCGCTGCGCCGAAGGCTTGGCTGTGACGGAGGCGGCAACACTGTGAGGCACCAGGTTTAGATTGGCCAGGTGCACAGCTTTGGGCAGCAGATTGGCAGGTCCCGGGGTAGATGCCTGCAGCCCGGTACTCTGCGGGGGCTTCTTAGCAGCCCCCTTGGTGGTGCGGGCCCCAGAGCTGCTGCAGGGAGAAGGGGAGGTGCCTGCCTGGCTCAGGCTCCCGTCCCCCTTCCTGTCACCCGCAGGGCTTCCTAAAGTGGGGCCCGCCTCCGGAGAGCCTTCCACCCCAGGCGGACGGGGGGCCTCCTCCTCTGGACCCTCATTCGGGGCACTCCCCAGCGGTGACCCCACGGGGGACTTACTGGGATCGTCAGGATCGGGCAGGATCCTCGTGACGGTCCGTTTGATCTCGCCTGATGACGTCTTGATGGTTTTGATTCTAACTTTGGGGATTGCCGGTGGGGACCCCTTGCTGCTGCCATCACTGCAGATGCTCCGCGGGCTATCTGAGGGCTTCGCGCTCTTCCTGGCGGCCTCAAGCGGGCTGCGGGGACTCCTCGGTGACTTGGGCATCTTGGGGCTACCTTTGGAGGCCTCTTTCATGGGCCCTGAAGGATCCTTGGGTGGGGCCGGCTGCTCTTCCTTGGTGACACTGGCCACCCTTTTGGCCTGGAGGGCCACCAGCGCTGCCACACAAGACGAGAGTTTGGAATGAGCTGGCTTGAGCCGCTGGCGGGGGGGGTACCGACGAGCAGGACGCGAGCTCCGGGGCCAGGCTCCTGGACTCCCCAGTACTATTCCCGGTGTGGCTGTTGAGCTCCAAGGCCTCCCCAAAGATCCGACCTGCATCCAGCTCCTTGTGGGACTCAGCCTTCTGGCCGCCTCGCTCACACTGCTCCGGGCTCCCCAGGGGAAGTGGTTCTGGCTTTGGCTCTTTCTTACAGAAGTGATCAAACATGTGCAGCTCCGGCACGGGGAACTTGGCCAGAGCCTCGAGAACAGGCCCCGCCACAGACCCGCACCCGGGCGGGGTTGGGAAGTAACTGTCGGGGTGCTTGGCCTTTCCCCCAAACCCATTATCTTTGACGGCACCATCAGGCTCTGGGCTGGAGATGGGGCTGAACTGGTCAAAGGTGGGCAGAGGCTCCGACTTTGCAGGCTCCAGTTTGCCAGAGACAGTCCGGCTACTGTCGCCGTTCATAAAGGCCGCCTCAAACTTCCCACAGTCGTGCCCCAGGCCGTGGGGGTCTGCGGGCAGCTCTGTACTCCGGAAGCCGTTGTGCAGGATGCTGGGAGCAGTGTGCTCCTTCTCCGCCTCAAAGGACTCCTGGCGGCTGGTGTTCTTGACGATGACACTCACAGCCGGAACATCAGAGGTGGCCCCCGCGTGGACCAAGGATACAGCCTCCTCCATGCACATGCCAGGTGCCTTCAGGGGACTCTCGTTCTCCTCACTGGGTGTCTGGATGGCCTCCTTTGCATCAAGGCTGGTGGGATCTGGGATGTCAAAGGCAGCCAGAAGATCATCAAAATCCGGAGTTTTCATATCCCCCATGGCTAGATGCTGGTGAGAGCTGAGGAGAAACAACAGAGTTAGTGAGCCAGGTCCCTCAGGACTCTGTCCAGGGTCACCTCCACTGTGTCCCAGCAACAGGCATGCACACAAGAGCCCCCACACATCTGAGTTCAATCCCAACAAGTTTCCATCAAACTGGGCACCTTTCTATTATCATTATTTTTTGCTTTTTGAGTCATACCTGACAATGCACAGGGGTTACTCCTGGCTCTGCACTCAGGAATTACTCCTGGCAGTGCTCAGGGGACCATAAAGGATGCTGGGAATCGAACCCGGGTCAGCCACTGTGCAAGACAAATGCCCTATCTGCTGTGCTATCGCTCCAGCCCCAGGGCACCTTTCTAGAACCTTTCGAGAACCTTCTTCTACACTGTGGCAGTAGAATGTTCTATACTGTGGTAAGCCGGCCCCACCAGCCATCCACCTGGAAATTCCTGGCAAAAATGGGTAGCCAAAAAGAGGGTCCATCCACCCCACTTTCCCTCCATTCTTGGGGAACATCACTCTGTGACCGTGTGTGTGTTAGCGAGATGCAGAATGCAGGGCTGGGCATCCAGGGCTGCCCCAGTGGCAAAAGTGCCAACCCCACCTATGTGAGGCTCCATGCTCAACTTGAGTTGCCACCTGCATGCCCCAAGCATGGTTCTGGCAGCTGCGCCGTCGGGTGGGCCAACACCGTCATCTCAGGGGCACTGTAGGTAGGTGTGTGTAAGCACCACACCTCAGACCATGGGAGCAACACAGCCGGGAGCACGTGGTAGCCCCTAGCAAGCACTTCAAGTAGATGTGTGTGATTCACATGCAAGTGTCCATGCACCGAACCACACAAGCATAGGCCAAGTTCCAGTCAGCACAGCAGCTGTGGGTGGTCATGGTGCCTCCTCTTAGTTTGTTTCATTTTGAGGCCACAACTGGGGTTTCTCAGCTTGCTCCTGGCACTGTGCTCCAGGGCTACTCCTGGCTAGAACTTTTGCTGACATACTCTTAGTAATTAATTAACAAAATTTTATAAATGTTTTCCCTTGGATGCATTAATTCAAATAAATCCAGAATGATTTGCTATTGCCAAGATTTATGCTGTTTCATAAATAAAGTCTAAAAAATTAAATTATTCCTGGCTTTATTTATTTTTTTTTTTTGGTCAAGTAAGCATCTATTTGTTTCCTTTATTTTCACCTGAAAATTTTTACTGGTAGGTGGCTGGCCCTATGAGGCAAGGTAGCTCTCATAGTGCCACATAATAACCAAGTCAGTCTGGCAGCTATTCTTCAAAACCAGGGGCAGAGAGATAGTGCAGCAAATAAGGTGCTTGCTTTGCACATATCTGACCCATGTTCGATCCCTAGCACCCCACATGGTCCTCCAAGTCTTCCAGGAGTGATCCCAGATAACCAAGCCAGGAGTCAACCCTGAGCACAGCCAGATCTGGACCAAAACCCAAATAACAAAAAAAAAAAAAAAAAAAGGAAAAGGAACCTGAATTGTATTTCACGAATATACAAAGGAAAGACAATTCACCTATCTTCATAATGATCTGGAAAAGGACACAGAGCAAAATTGCCTGTAAAGGACTTGAATGAGCTGGAAAAATGCCAGGCTCAAACCAGCCTAAAGAGGAGGAAAGCCCACCGACTCCTCTGCTCAGTGTGTGAACCTGCACCTGTGTCCACACCAGAGACCTGGAGGCATGTCTATCTCGATTCCCAGTTGGAGCCTTGTCCTGTGTCAATGGATGTAACTGATGGAAGGCAAAGACAGTAGCTACACAGAACCACTTGAGCAGAAAGTCCTGGGGCCTCAGAACCCCACAGGCAACACTCTACACTAAAGAAAAAAATTCTAAAATGCAGGAGAAAAATTATATGCTAGGTTATTGAGGCAGAATCGAAGAGAAATATATGCAAAAACAAGTGAAAGAGATGAGATTGGGGAATGGTCACACAGTAGGGGCATAACTCTGAGCTGCTATAAAGCTTCATTACAGGGATGTCCTGGGAGACAGCTTGCATGCCCTCCTGCAAGCACTGCTCGATGTAGCCCTGGGGGTTCCCAGCATTGCAACGCCCAGGCAACTCCACATCCTTGGGCCCTACCACTGAACCGATCAGATCACCAACGATCACTGGGAATCCCTGCCAAATCCTACTTAAGAGGCCCTGTTACCCACAAAACACTAATTGTGAAAACCATTGTGCAACATAAAAATGACTGTTGGCGTGCTACTTAACACAAAAACACTGTCAGTTATAACATGGATACAGTTGAGTCAAGATGTAAGTGTGCGTGTGTGCGTGTGTGCGAGTGTGTACATACGGGGTCGAGGGATCACTGGTGTTTCGTTTTCCCTAAACCCTTGCTGTGCAGATTTTTGCAGTCTTATAGCAGGACAGTCACGGGAAACACAGTTGGAAGCGCAGGGAACAGGTGACAGGGCAGAGGTGGGATCAACAGGTTTGTAGTCTGGGCCCCTTGCCTCCCTCCCAACCCCAACTAACATGTGTCTGCTACAGAAAATGAAAAATAGCCCCCTCCCCTGTTGGGAAGATATCCAATTATGGCAGATAATAATAAAGAGCTACACCAATTATCTAGACTAAATCGAGAGTGGAAGAATGACTATCTGGAATGAGATGTACTGAAATGTACAATTTCCAGATGACAAGTATCTCCCAGAATAGGAAGTGTTAGAGCCCATAAGCAAGGAGAATGGACCACGCCTCAGTGGAGACACAGAGCATCCCAAATAAACTATCACTGTGCAAACTGCGTCCAATCCAGGGAAACACTGTGGGATGTCTGCGAAGCTTCATGCCCTAATCTCAGAGCACAGAAGCAGCCCAGCAGGGAAGGCACTTGTCTTACACGCATCAGACTCGGGTTCAATACCCAGCACTGCGTATGGTGGTGTCCTCCAAACCCCTACTCCAGCCCCACTATAAGTGATCCCTGAGCACAGAGCCAGGAGTCAGCCCTGAGCACAGCTGGGTGTGGTCCCCAAACCAAAACAAACATAAAATTCCTCTGACCTTTTATCATCATCATCAGGGAGAGAGAGAGAATAGACTTAACCTTTCATGGGGCAGGGAAAAGCCCAGAGGGAAGAGAGGGAGAAGCTGATGGTATATGGAGAGATGAACTGGGACCTCACTGTTAGCCAGCTTATCACAGGGACTTGAAGAAGAAAAGAATCACAGCACAGGTCTGAAAACTACAACAGCAGGAGGGCACTTGGCTTGCATGAGGGCAACCCACGTTCCATCTCCCTGGCATTGTATATGGTTCCCGAGCACTGCCAGGAGTGATCCCTGAGTGCAGAGCTAGGAGTAACCCCTGAGCATCACTGTACATAGGAAGGAAGGAAGGAAGGAAGGAAGGAAGGAAGGAAGGAAGGGAGGGAGGGAGGGAGGGAGGGAGGGAGGGAGGGAGGGAGGGAGGGAGGGAGGGAGGGGGAAGGGAGGGAGGGGAGAGGAGGTGAGGAGAGAAAGGGGAAAAAGAAAGGGAGGGAGGGAGGGAGGGAAAGCAGATGGGTAAGCAGGAAACAGAATAAAGCAATGTTCTCTACACAGAGACAGAAGAACGAATACTCCATAAGGCTAGGAGAATCAGAGCTGACCAATGTTGTGGTCACATCGGCTACAGCAAACCTTCCTAACACGTGAGCTGTACCAAAGCTGAAGCTTGCAGAAGACCCAGAATAAGTTGTGTTTGGTGTGGAGGAAACCACACCAAACCAGCATTAGCGATAACTGAGAAACATGAAGGACATGCAATGCACCTACATATCCGTGCTTCTTTAAGTCTTGCTCCAAAATAAATATTTAGCAGTAGAAAATAGACATAAAACAAAATGTATTGTTATAAAAAGCAAAACAAGCTATAAAGTGTTACATTCATCAAAAACCTGTCAGCAAAGACAAAAAGAATATTGGCAACATGATATTTATTATAAGCTTTAATATATATACAATGTTAATATATAAGTTACTTCATTTATATGTATTTATAAAAACCCACAAGATATAACCAAAAGAAAAGCATTCCAACAGAAAGAAGAGCAAATATGATCATCAATTTAAAAGAAGAAACACAAATGGGCAGTTAATACATTTTAAAAAGTTGCAAGCAGGGCCAGAGTGACAGTGTAGCAGGTACTGCAGGCTCTTGCCTTGTATTCAGCTGACCCAGGTTTGATCCCCAGCATCTCTACGTCCCTCAAATCCACCAGGAGCAATACCTGAGCACAGCACCAAGAGTAAGCCTAAGCACTGCCCAAAACCCAAAACAACAACAACCAAAAAAGTTGCAATCTCACAAGAAATTATAGAAATACTCATTAAAACAGTGAGAGACCATTTCTGGTCTATCCAGCTGACTTTTCAACAACAATAATCCCAGCTTTGTGCTGGCAGAGACACTGTAAATAAAATAACCCTTCCTAAGACACAAATAATGGAAATTGCCCCACAAAGTAATTTAGCAATATGTACATAAGCCAAACAATTTCACTTCCAGAAATTTATCCTCAGGAAATAGGGATGTGTGCTTTATTAATTGACAAATTTATAGCAAAAGCATTTATATGAAATAAGAAGACACAAAGTTCCAACAGGAGAAAACAAAGTATGGCATATTAACTCAAATAATTACTAGGTATCATATGGGTCGAAACTTAAGGCTGTAAGAGATGGCAGGAAGAGGACTCAGTGGTAAAGCACTTGCCTTCCACCTGTCAGCCCTGAGTTCAATTCCCGGCACCACCAGAAAGGGAAAAAAGGTCACTGAAAATCATCAGCAAGATATTCCAAAAGCACAAGGCTCTGCAGGGAAGCCACAGCTAGGAAAGCACCAAAGGCTCTGATTCACGGGAAATGCATCTTCCAAAGAGACAAGAGCCACGTCTGCCCGTGTCCGTGTCTGTCACAAGCAGCGCAGATGAGCAGGGACAGCAAAGCCTGGGCTGCCTGGGATGATGCTTGGAACCCCGAGCCCGGGGTGGCCCGTCGGGGGGCCTGAGAGGCAGCTTGGTCCCCTGTGGAGCGTGAGGACGGCACGGGAAGCTTACCCAGTGCACTGGAGTGGCCTAGTCAACAGGCAGTGCCGGCTGGCAGCGGGTCGCCTCCTCACAGGGGCAAGGCAGGAAGCATGCCGCCGTCGGCACACAGCTCTCAGGGGTGAAGAACAACTCCAGGTCACAGGCGGGTGCTACATCCTCTCTTAGGCCAAGACTTTCTTCATGGAAGACCTGAAAACTAAAAAGAGAAAATGAAGTAAGTTTAAAGGTTCCCGGCAGACCTGATTGGAGAACTCTCGGGGGGGGGGGGGGGGGGGGGGAGGGGGGTGTCACAAGATCAAATGGAACTCCTACGCAGAGCCACTGTGGGCTTAGTCATTCTTGAAAAATCGATTCCTCTTCTCTTCCCTCTGCCATCGCTGTTGCTGCAATGACAGAGACCACACACATTTCGCTGCAGTGATTCTCTGCAAGCTGAACTTTTTATTTTTGGGGTGGGGGTGGGACACTAATCACAGTGGTGCTCAGGACTTGCTCCTGATTCTGCACTCAGGGGTCATTCCTGGCAGGCTCAAGGGACCTTCCGGGGTATCAGGAAAGCGCCCCACCTGCTGTCCTGTTGTGGCCCAGGGGCTCCAGAGAGCAGAGTGACTGAAATCAGGGACTGACCTCACAGCCTCACTAGACTCAAGGCCCTCACGCCTCTGCCACAGAGCTGACTCTGAACCCCTAGAGAGGCTGAATTTCTCTTTCTTTGGGCCACCCCTGGCTGTGCTCAGGGCTCCGTGCACAAAGCATGTGCGCCAGCACTCTGAGGCATCCACCAGTCCTGCTTGGCCATAAATGCCAAAGATGTGCCAAGGATTATTAAAAAGGCAATTTCCATAAAACTTGGGCAAATGTTAAGATGTGTGTGTGCCCATGACTGCCATGTATGGGAAACCAAAAATAGTAGTTTTCTAGACCACTGACCAGTTCTGGAACGTAAAGTGTTCCTAAGTTACCTAGAATGCTAGTTCCCATACTATGAGGGAGCCCAATTTTATATCCATAGATGTTTTCTCAATGACCAATAACTAAAAACACTATTACTAAATCAAGGTCCATGAAAACTTGATTTTCAACAAGGGTGTCTTGTTCCAAATGCTTTGGTAGCCCAGTACTTCTGTACAGCTCTGAGCTATAAGCTTCTTGAAAACAGGTTTCTTTGCCCCCCCCCCCCTTAATGCTGCCATTTTCATAAAGTAAACCCTTGATAAATACTGGTTGGAGCTACAATGTGAAACCTTTAAGACTACAAATGGCCTTAGAGCTATTCCATAAATCAAAATGGGAAAATTAAGAGACAAGGTCTCGCAAGACTGTGAAAGCATTAGCCAAGGAGCATCAGGAAAAGCACCTGGGAAGAACCTGCCAATAAACGCTTACAACACCAGGGTCCAAGCTAAACTGCTCAGAACACAAGATATCACCTTGCAGTCTTCACGGATGATGTGGAAGACCCTGGACCTTACCATGAATAAAATGAGTAACCCTCAACCACTCAAGTGTCCAGAGACTAGAAGTTCTGTTTAGTTTGCATCCTTTAAGAAGGGCCAGAATTGGAAGAGCCAAGATTGAAGTTACAGAGGGAAGGGTTTTTTCTGATAAAAACACAAAACCAAACTGTATTTCCTAGTCAAATGAAGATTTAGGGGGAAAGGGACATGCAAAATTGTGCAGGTTCATTAAACCTCAAAACAGGAGGGGAGGGTGGCTATTTGAAGTTTGACATAAAAACTGAACAAACCAAAGATGAGCCCTTCATCAGTAGCTATGTTAGGCAGGGAGAGGTGCCTTGCCCACACCAATCCTAGCCTATGAGTCAGAAGGTCCCCAGAAACTAAGAACAAGGAAACATCACTAAACGGGAGATTTCAGCCCTGCTCTTTGAAAGGGTCCACATTTCATGTAACACTGAATGTGGGTTTTTACTCTCTGACCAGGGCTGAATTCAGCAACAGCAGATTTGTAGAAGTTCAGTAACAGGACAGGAAGCAGGCAGAGGCAGTCCAAAAACAGTCAGAGAGTCGATTTCTATTTGGTCCACACTGAGACAAACCAGCACGGCATGAGGCAGACTTGTCAGATGGAAGCGAAAGCAGGATGGCTGAAAAAGCACTGGGCAGAGACCACAAGCCTGCATCCTGCGAAGGCCACTGAGAGCCAAGGACTAGGGGAACACAGAGGAATGGATGTTTCACCCCCTGTGGATCAACTCTTCCTCCCATTCTCATCCCACTCCCTAACATACTGGCTCACACAGTGAAGTCATTCGGCTTCAATTGCCGACAGAATGGTCGGGAGTTTAAAAATGGATGTTGGAGCCAGCGTGACCACACAGAGAACCAGGAGCTGGCCTTGCATGGGGCCAATGCAATTTCAACTCCCAGCACCACATAAGGCCCCTAGAGCCCCGCCAAATGGGGCCCCACACCTCCCACTCCCCAGGATAGCCACAGACACCTATGCAAGTTCAGTACCAGTAAGGCATCTGACCAACTGACTAGGCTGTTTGCATTTAGCTTTTCAAAAGGTTTTTAAAAACAGAGGTTTCCGTGGCAACGGGACTTGGCCAGTGGGAGAGGGTTCAAGTGATGGAGCAAGTCATCATCAATACATTCTGGGCTCCCAGGGGTGCTAATCCAGTCACTATTTTACCCATCGAAAATGCCTTGTGGCAAGATCCCCATGATCATCTTTCCAAGGATGGAGTCCTGGTGCGCAGCATCACAGGGAAACAGAGGCCACAAGAGGTCTCCAAGAAAAAAAAAAAAAAAAAAGAGGTCTCCAAGAGGCCACTGACTGGGTGGGTACTGTCTGTCATGTGACTCTCGGCCCAATGGGGTGGGCACACTTTTTCTAAGAATGAAAATCAAGAAGAAGAAAACTCAGGGGTAGGGGCTGGAAGTGGAGGGAGTTGGGATCCTAGGACTCTAACACCAGGAAGCAGATACAAGTGGATACAGGAAAAGGTAACAAAGCTGACAGGGACTTTCAAGAGGAGATAAAAGTGACCCTATGTAGTCTCACTCCCCTTCCCCTTTCCTCTGAGCAAATGGTGACTACAGGGAAATAGGCGGCAGCCGCCCACTCCCAGGCCATCCCCAGAGCATGTCCCACCCAAGAACCCGACAGAAGCCAAAGCCTGTGGTGGTTGGCAGCCGCAGGCATAAGCAAGAAGCCAGCAGCTGCCTCAGAGGAGGGAGGGCCCCAGGGAGAAAGTGGTGACTTCCCAAGGGTCATTCCCCAGGCGGGTGCCATAGGTGCCACCAGCTACACTCACTGACCTAGGGAATGTGCAGACCCCCAGGGTCTTCCCCAGAGAAGCTTCAGAGCCAGCAGACCAGGAAGCCCATCTCCCCTGGGCCGCACCCCCTCTTCCTTCCTTCCTCTACTGTTGGACCCGAGGGCCGTCAGCCTTTCTTGAGAGCAGGCCCCAACGGGTGGCCTTTTTACAACCTGGCATAGACCGTGTGTGAGTTCCACACACACCCCCTGTCCGTCCCTGGAATCCAAGAGACGTGCCCAGAGAACCAGCCAGCTATCTGTGGGAATGAGGATGTACTCATAGAACTAGTCATCTGTGCCCTTTGACCTCCAGAGTATATTGAAAGATCTTTTTAGGGGCCAAACAGATAGTAGAGGGATTGAAGCATCCCTTGAGGCAGATGCCAGCTCAATCCATGCAATGCCAGGTGTGATCCCTGAGTGCAGAGCCAGACGAAAGCCCTGAGCAGTGGCCAAACCACCCCCACGCCCAAAAATATATTGTAAAAAGACATGTGGTATGATCCACAGACTCACTGTCCTTCTCTCTTGAAAAAAGAGCATGAAACAACACTGCATAGCCATGCCACCAGACCCTGCGCCAGGCTGCTTCATTCAGACACCCTGGAAGGGAGTGGGAGAGGTCCCTCCCTGCCCCAAGGGAACTAGTCCCAGCATCGGAAAACCTCCAGAACTCAACCACCGCCAAGCTCACTGGCATTCTCCACAAGCTCAGGCCAAATCCCACCCATGAGTGAATCTATTCCTGGATATCTCATACCTTATACCAACTCACACTCCAAGAGTAGATTTGGTAGGGTTTAAAGTAGAATTTCCCCAATCTTAGAGGGAAATATATTTTTATAGATACATATGGAGCGATAGCACAGCGGTAGGGCATTCGCCTTACAAGCGGCCAACATGGCCGACCCGAGTTCGATTCCTCCGCCCCTCTCGGAGAGCCTGGCAAGCTACCTAGAGTATTCAATATGCCAAACACAGTAACAACAAAAGTCTCCAATGGAGACGTTACTGGGCCCGCTCAAGCAAATCGACGATCAACGGGAGGGCCTTTACCTTTACCTTTACATATATATATATATATATATATATATATATATATACACACACACACACAGATATACACACACACACACACACACACATCTGTATATTCATATGCACACAGGGCTCAACTGTTAACAGCATAATCTCTTAAAGAAGGGCTTAATGACCCCTGAGTGAAATACAACAATCATCAGACCCTCTCCTCGAAGGAAAGTTTTTTGGCGCATTTTCAGAGCGATAGCACAGCGGTAGGGCGTTTGCCTTGCACGCAGCCAACTTGGCCAACCCGAGTTCAATTCCTCCGCCCCTCTCGGAGAGCCCGGCAAGCTACCGAGTGTATCTCGCCCGCACGGCAGAGCCTGGCAAGCTCCCCGTGACGTATTCGATATGCCAGACACAGTAACAACAAAGTCTCCAATGGAGACGTTACTGGGCCCGCTCGAGCAAATCGATGATCAATGGGAGGGCCTTTACTTTACTTTTTACTTTACTTATTCAAAACAAACAATACAAACTAAATTATTTCAATTATTCTTTGGAACAGGGGTTGGGGTTCAGGATGGAAACATCCAAAATATGGTAGTGGGAAGGTGTAACGGTGGTAGGGTTGGTGTTCAAATATTAAATGTAATCAAATATTGTGAACCACTTTTATAAAAATAAAATAAAAAATAAAGACAAGTTGTAGGCCTGGAGTGATAGCACAGTCACTGTCACTGTCCTCCCATTTTTCATTGATTTGCTCAAGCGGGCCCAGTAACATCTCCATCGGAGACTTTGTTGTTACTGTGTCTGGCATATCGAATACATCACGGGTGGCTTGCCAGGCTCTGCCGTGCGGGCGAGATACTCTCGGTAACTTGCCGGGCTCTCTGAGAGGGGCGGAGGAACGAACTCAGGTCGGCCATGTTGGCCGCTTGTAAGGCAAACGCCCTGCCGCTGTGCTATCGCTTCAGCCTGATAGCACAGTATGGAGGGCAACTGCCTTGCATGTGGCCAACTGGGTTTGACCCCCAGCATCCCACAGGGTCCCCCGAGCACTGCTAGGAGTAATTCCTGAGCACAGAGCCAGGAGAAACCCCTTTTTGGGTGTGGCCCAAAAAAGGCCAAAAAAAAAAAAACACCAGAATGTAGAAAGACATGTGATAAAGAGCTAGGGACATGGCTCAGTAACAGAGCACTTCCATGTGTCAGACCCCAGTTTTGAGTCCCAGCATAAGGAAAACAAGGGAATACGATTTTTATAGTTGGTACAACATGCATGAATACTGAAGACATTATGTTCAGTGAAAAGTCAGATGCAAAATAACAAATAATGTATGATTCTACTTACAGGAGGTTCCTAGGGTAGTCAAACTCAAAGCAAGAGAAAGTAAAACTGAGTACACTGGGGTTAGGGAAAGGGAGGGTGGGGGAGCTGTTGTTTTTATGGACACTTTCAATTTGGAGTGATGAAGAGGTCTCAAGATGGATGGTGGTGTTGGTCAAAAAACACGCTCACAATTATACTAAAAATGGTTACCATGGGGAGCCAGAGTGATAGGACAGTGGGCAGGCTGCTTGTCTTGCATGCAGCCAAGCAGGGCTAGAACCATATGATCCCCCGAGCCCTGCAAAGAGTGATTCCTGGGCTCAGAGCAAGGAGTGACCCCTGAACACCACTGGGTGTGGCCCAAAACAATAAATAGATAACTAAATAAAATGGACACCACATTTGACTTTGTCATGGATATTTTACCACACCTTTAAACAGTTACCAAGAAATATTAAAAATTCCCTTACTCAACCTTTAACAACGTTACTAATCTCTTACAGAAGGGCTTAATGGCTCCTGGGTGAAATACAACAATCTTCACACACTTTCCTCTAAGAAATCTTTTTTTGGATCATTTTTAGTGGATTATTTATAACAAGCAATACAAAATAAATTATTCCAGCTCTGCTTTGGGGACAGGGTTTGGGATACGGGATGGAACTATCCGAAATATGGTGGTGGGAAGGTGTAATGATGGTGGGATTGGTGTTCAAATATTAAATGCAATCAAATACTGTGAAAAAATTTTATAAAACTAAAAACTTATTTTTAAAATTAAAACTATTTTTTAATTAAAAAAAATAAAAGTTCCCTTAGCCCCCAACTATCAGTCCCTCCAGGCTGCCAAGACATACCCTCATGAGGTTCTCAAGACAAGGGTGTGGCGGGCACTGCTATGGGTGCTGGGCGATGGAGAAAGCAACAACTTCTACTGAGGCACATTGTCTAGTTTTCAGATACCACCTAGGGAAAGGAAAAGAGAATGACTGTAGAGTCTGAAGGCAAATACTAACTCAGGCAGTAGAGGAGACGGTGGTGACGGTGTTGCAGGCAGAGGAGGAAGACGAGAAACAGAGCAAAGCTTTAAAAGCACAGGTCCAGGCAGGGATCCCGAGTGGCCTCAGATGCGTGGGACTCTGAGTTCCACACTGGACCTACACACCCAACCTACCCCCCCCATTCCAACACCACCAGATACTGTCCCCAAATACCATCACCACATAAGAACAACAAAAATGTAATTCAGGCCCTGAGAAAAACCTCCAGGCATACACTCAAAGCAGTTCTAAAGGTCATCCAAGACCAAACTCTTCACAGGCCAGACACCCTCCTCTTTTGCTCTCACTGAGCGGTGGTGCAGCACACACTCAGGCTAAGTTCAAATCCTGATACTACCCCCTGCTAGTCATGTGACTTTGGGCTATTCTCTTCATTTCTGCCTGTTTCCCTGTGTGTCAAGTGCAGTATTTCAATGATTAAACAAGGGTTGGAAAGACAGTACAGAGAGTAAAATGCTTGCCTAGCATGCTGCCAATCCAGGTTCAATCCCCAGCACCCCATACAGTCCCCCAAACTTGCCAGGAGTAGTTGCTGAGTGTGGAATCAGGAGTAACCCCTGAACATTGCCGGGTGTGGCCCCAAAACAAAATACCAACAACAAAATAATTAAATGAGTTCCCATTTATAAAGTGCCTACAACACTACAATAAGCATAGCAAAAATATATGTGTATGGGGACAGAGATAGTGTTTCTCAGTCTCTACTCCCAGCTCAGTGCTCAGAGGACCATGTTAGCACTGAGGATTAAACCTGGGGCTCCCACAAGCAATAATGTCCCCTACTCTTTGAGATACATCCCAAACCCCAGAGCAAGTACATGGATTCATTAAGTATTTGCCACAAATCTCAGTGGATTGCACACTTTACTTCCTATTTTCTTAAATTTTTTTAAAACTTGGTTGGTTGGTTGGTTGGTTGGTTGGTTGGTTGGTTTTAGCGCCACCCCTAAGAGTGCCCAGGGCTTATTCCTCACCCTGTGCTCTGGAATCATTCCTGGTTGTGCTCAGGGACCAAATGTGGTGGCAAGGAGGGATTGAACCCATGCTGCCTGCAAATAAAGCACATGCCTTACCCAGTGTGCTATCTCTCCAGACCTTACCTCCTACTTATTAAAGTGCCCAGGACTGTAATGAATCCCTAACTTAGCTCAGGCTGTGGAATGCATCCAAATTGTACAGAAAGGAGATAGGGAAAATGTTTCCTGAAGCTTTTCCTTTTGTTTAGACCTTCCCACTTCAAAACATAAACTAACAAGCAGGCAGTGTGCTATGTGGAGGAGGAGGGAAGTCAGAGATGGGGCTGGGCACCTCTGTTGACTGGGCCCCAGCAAGCCTGGTGTCTGCAGTCAGTGCATTCGCCAAGGCACGCAGAGACTCTTGGACCCAGTGGCAGGCAGTCTGCAGAAATGGGCAGGCAGGCTCTGCACCCAGCTGGTTGCTCTCCCACCTGACTTATATGCTTGGATTTACAAGAGCTCTTCCATCTATAAAACCAGTCCCGTGCCCCAAAGGATTGGCCAGTGAGTGGCAGAGCCTCACCTGGCCTCCACGTGCCTGGAAGGCCTGGGAACCTTTCCCTCTGGAACTCTGAACAAGGAGGTCACACTGCCCAACACCTCAGTTTCCCATGGCATATGTTTCCCCTTCTGTGGGTATTAGGGCAGTCCCTGCTGGCCTGGCCTAAATGTGTCTCATGGTAGGGTGTTATAAGAGCTAAGTCAGAAAAACACCGAGAACAATGTTCTAGATGAGAGGTTCTTCCAACCTCAGAAAGATTAGGAAATACCAGAGCTGAAGAGATTCTAAGAAACCTTTGAACCTGAACCACGACAAGCAAGGAAACTGAGGCCAGCGAGGTGAGCTCATCAAAGGAGATAAAGTATGAAAGTCACAAAGATTTGTAGTAACTGTGAATGGTTCCCATACTTCCCGGCAGAGTCCTGGACCCAGCCTTAGCCTTCCTAGAGGGGCTTAAGTCAGCGACTCGATCACCCATTCAGATTCTCCAAACTGGACACAGGTTTTCCCTGTTCCCCATAAGTCAGCACCCACAGGTAAGTTCCTACCTGGTATGACTTGGTAGGTTTTGGGAGGATAGGGAAGTGTATCTTAGTGTATCTTAGAACATCTGAAACGTTTGCCACAGGTCAAACATCAACAGAGATCTCTCTGTTGTACCGTGAACAAGGTGCCTCCTTTGCGTGCAGTCAGTCCAGGTTGAATCCCTGGCAATACCTATGGTCCGGAGCAAGGAATGATCCCTGACAGCAGAGCCAGGAATAAGCCCTGAGCAACACTAGGTGTGGCCCTAAAACAAAAATGTTTACCATGTAAACAAATTGTAATTGAACATTCCCAGGCTCCCAAAATAACCAGACAAGAACATTCTACTTTGGGATCATAGGGAAAACTGTTCTCAGCTTAATCATGCCTCAACTGGAACATTCAGCCCACTGTGGATCCCAGGATGTGCGAAGGGGCCACAGGAAGGAGACAAGGTGGGAAGGGAGCCAGAGTGGGGAAAAGGTTAAGAACACTGCCCCAGAGCATGGTGCTGGTGCCAGAATGGCGCAAGAGTCCTGGCTTCATGTGAGAAACTCCTGGGGAGCCATACAAAACCTGACCCCACCCCAGAGCAGCCAACCCAGAGCCTTTAGGGGCAGGACCAGGCATTTTCCTCTTTCAGATGTTCCAAGCACCAGCTGCCAACTGGGGGTGGGAGACACACGTCTTGAGACTAAACTCCCTCCAGGGTTGACCCAGGGGCCGTCAGCCTCGAAAATCACCTCAAAAGCTTAAAAACACTGCACACTAGGGGCCCTCTGTGGCCAAGGCGGGGTGGGCCCAGGGCTATGAAACAGTTACTCCCACCTGGGAGCTAGAGAATAAGGGTGCTGAGTGCCCTGAATCCCACCTGCGCTCCCACTGGCCCTGGAGCTGTGGGGGTGCTGGCAGAGGGACTGGAAAGGACTCCCAGCTCAGAGTCGTGACAGCCCCCAACCACAGCAGAACAAGCCTCACAGGAGGGGGTGTCCATCACTACTCCACACTGGTCACTGCCTCCCACCTCAAGGGAAGCCCAGGTTTCCCCCCCCCCCCCAACACCCCCCCCCCCCCGCCCTGGGGCTCTCCAGCCCTTCCTGGCCCTAGCACTAGTCACACCAACTTCCTTACGACCCTGTTCTCTCTCCTCTCAGGAGATATCCACAGGGTCTCAGAACTCTGCTCAAATGCCTTCATTCATCAGATTTTTCTTTTCTGTATTTAAAATAGGAAGTCTGCGTTCCATCCTCCATCCCTGCTTTGTTTTCTCCACAGTTCTTCCCACCACCTCTCACCACTTGTTTATGCTCTGAACCAGCCCCTCCCCTAGAACATGAGCTCCACGAAGGAGGATAAGGGTTATTGTTGGCTGGTGTGTTTTCCCCTTCGGTTAGGGTTTCTGTGTGTGTGCGCACAGTGTTCATACATGCAAAGCATGTGCTCTGCCATGCCCCCACCCAAGATAAGATTCCTATTTATTTTATCCCAGTAATCTTTCCAGTGCCTAGAATTGTGCTGGGCACGTGGACATATGAGAGCCACCAGCAATTCAAAACACAACTTGTACCAAAAGGGTCATAAAGAAGTTGATTATACAAAGTCACCTCTTCACTGATCTCATGCCAAAAGTCTTTTAAGAAGCAGGCTAGAAGCCTAATGAAACAGAAACCTTTTAGAAAATAAGTATTTCCAGTCAATTAATCCCATCCAAATGCATTGTGAGTCCAAGACACTTTGTTCTCAGAAGCAGACAAAACTACAGAGACAGAAAATGAAGCTGAAAGGTGATGGAGCCGATGGGTTTCAGACACCATCCTGCTTTGTCTGTGGGCGCAAGAGAACCCCACGAATTTGGAAAGCTCCTCTTGGACAGCAAGTAGCTTCCAGATGCTGGATGTGACGGGACAGGACTCTGCACTCACCACCAGGCACATCAACCATCAACCCCACAGACCCAAAATGGGTCCTTCTTCCCAGTTCCCTCCCGAGGCCCTGCCAGCTCCCAGAGTTCATGTGAAGCACTGGCATTACTCTGCGCTCCACCGAATTTTATTTCAGGCCTTTGGCAAGAGAACTACAGTGCAGGTAGGGCGCTGAGACCTTGGTGGCCAAGTCCCAAGGCCATTGTGGGCTCCAGTCTACCTTCTTTTTTCCAGCTCCACTATCTCGCCACATGGCACATGATGCCAGGACCCATGTCCCTGCCAACAACTCTCCATCACACCACCCACTTGGCCCCAGGGCCGACAAAAGCTCCACTGGGCACAGCATAGGACGTATGTTCCACCATCTCAGCCCAGACCCAGTCTCCTGATGCTTTGTTTCAGCAGCTGCTCTTTCACCAGCCTCAGAGCACAGAAAGAAGAGCTTGTAGAACTGGAACAGCCTGGACTGCATCACCAAGCACATCCTCCCTGGGCAGTCCTTCCTTGCATGCCCACAGAAACCACTCAGTGAGTAAAGGGGCCTTTGCAGTGCCGTGGCCCAGGCCCGCTCACCTGCTGGGAGCTAAGGCCCTGCCATGTGGCACAAATAAGCCGACTTACACTGATGCAGGTTTCATGCAGCCTTTCTCAACAAGGGCTAGAGGAAGTCAGTGGAGGAACAACAGGACACGGTCGACCCAGGTTGCATCGCACCATCCCACAGGGTTCCCCAATCACCAACAGGAGTAATTCTTGAGCACTGAGCCAGGAGTGACCCCGAGCATGCCAGTGTGGCCCGTAAAACAAGAGAGAGAAGTCAGAGTGGTATTCTCCCCTCTAAAGCAGGCAAGACAGCAAGTCACATAGAGATAAACGAGAAGGTTTGAGGAAGAGAAGCGAGTAAGCAGAAAGGCCCTGAAGGAGGAGGGTCCTTGGA